CATTTTACGTGCCGCCCGGCAGTTTTTTGGGCGCCGTGAAAATCTTGATTGGTCTCACGGCAAACCTATCTCCTCCTACAGTTTTCATGCTACAGCAATGAGACATATACCATTTGATTTGTAAAGACCATACCTATAGACTCTGTGATCACTTTTTTGAATTTCAGTCTGGTTCGTTTTTATATGGGGGAGAAGGGGGGGAGGGGGGAAAATGAGAAAAATGGGATAAAATGCGCATAAAAAAAACTAAGGGGAAAATGAGAAAAGTGATCACAGAGTCTATAGGTATGGTCTTTACAAATAGAATGATATGTGTCTCAATGTTGTAGGATAATATTTGCAGGAGGAGATAGATTTTCTAAAGTAGCTCTTTTTAGCCGTTTTCTATGAATTTTACGTTTTCTATCAATTTTTTCGAAAAATTTATAAGAGCAAAATGTTATTTTTTTTACATTTTACGTATGTATGTGAAGTTTCATGACGATCGGATAATAACTGTAGAAGTTTTTCCAGAGGGTAGCCGGTCCCCTTAAACATTGCATGTCAACAGCAACATTTCTTTAAGTGTTGCTACTTATGAGATTGAAAATTGCAATGAATTATTTAAATTTTGGGTATCTTATCTTTATCTAATAGAAGCTGATGTGGAATATATATACCTACCTTTCAAGCTGCAACTTGAGCTTTCCTGCCATTTTTGCAGCAGTGCAGCTTTAAGATTCCTGGTAGAAGAGTTATCTCTATCTAACTTAGGTAGTACCTACATAGTTTCTGTTTTTTTAGGATGTGGCAAAATGAAATGTCTTTAGTTTTTTAGGAATAAATAAAATAAATAATAATTACCTCCTATCTAATCATTACCAAAAGTGCACAATCATGCCATGAGCTTCCAATTGTATTAAAAAATTTTCCTGTTGGAGCCACAAGATTTCAGAAACTAGTAAGAAAATTCCAATCTTGGGCCTTGAGTTTGACAAGGAGCTGACATTTTCTAAGCATGTTGAAATGCAAGCTAATGAACCCAACAAACTTTTAGGACTGATCAGATGCTTGTGCAAGTTCCTAGATGCAATGGCAATGAAGCAGTTGTTTGTTGCTGTTGTGCGCCCAAACCTAGAGTTTGGAAACACCATGTAGTCACCAAGACTTGAAAAGAACAATAATTTAATAGAGAGTGTTCAAAGACGTGCAACAAAGATAATTTCTAGCTTGAAGGGCAAGTCCTATGAAGAAAGATTAAAGATATGAAGATTCCAGCCTCTGTTTTTGACATTTTCATAAGAATCCCTTTGAAGTATACAAGTATACTCATGGTTTATACAAGGTCCCAGAAAGATTACTAGAATTTGAAACATGGACCAAACAACCCACACCAGGGCCATGGCTATAAACGAAAAAAACTGCGCTGCAAGCCTGCAACTCATCCACTGATCCACACGACAACATTTCTTCATGCTTTGAATCAGCGACATGTGGAACAGCCTCCCAATTACCTGACTGACGCTCCGAGTATAAACGTGTTCAAGAACAGACTAGATAAAGCTATTAAAAATATATGTTTGGACATGAAATGCATAGTGTGGTAGAATTCTAGGAAATGGTTGGTCATTTAGATCCAACAGGATGGCTGGAGTGTTCCAGCAGGTGCCAGGGGGGGGGNGGGGGGGGGGGGGTGAAGCAGGAGGGCCATGTGCTCATTGTGCTACAATAGGTGTGGGACAAGCACTATGCTGCTGCTGCCACCCTGCATGTATTGGAGTGCGTGATCATCCCACTCTTCTTGTAGTGGGACAAGTGTGCTACCGCTGCTAATGGCCTGCTTATATGGGAGCACGCAGCCATCCCGCTCATATTGGGCCAGCGTGCTCCTATTTTGGGCCACCACACTCCTCAATTACATAGGTACATGGTTATTTAGAATGCCACCAGGATGCCTAGCACCGTATCAAACCCAGTGTAAGTCTAGTAGCTATTTCAAACTATTGTCAGTCATGAAAAAATCTGGTCAGAGGACATGCTTTAGGATCTTCTGTGAACAAATTGCAAAAAGTACAAGAATTGGTGACAGGCCACACCAGGCCTACTCATAAAAATCGCTATTTTATGTTATTGCTGTTATGCTGCAATAATCAACAATGACCTCCTCTGTGAATTTTTCATTCTAAAATGAATCTGATGAGATTTTTATATTGCACATCTAAATGTGTGTTATGAGTTTTCATTTGAATATTTGGAATTTGTGCAAGTTTTTTTCACTTTTGTGCTGTTGGTAAGCTTTCCAGCTAAATGTGAAATTCTGTTTTACCTTAAGAATACCTGTGAATGTACAATTGTAATAATTTTAACCATGTTATGGCTTACATCCACTTCAAACCTCATATGAATAGCAAATTTTTCACATTTTTTCTAAACCATCTCTGACAATTAAATTTTTTCTCAAGATTTGTGGAAACCATAAATGAAAAGTCTGCTTGTATCCCAGTATTTTTCTGAACATGATATAAATGTGCTAGGTGAAGTAGCTGAAGCTGTAATTGATTGCTTGTCACATGCCTTAGACAAAATCATCAAGTTTCATCTCAGATTGATAAAAATCTTAGATGATTTGACAGTGCCACACATTCTCTTAACAGTTTTTTTTTGGAACTAGGTTTGCTATAATAATAAAAAATATTATTATATTTTTAAAAATAATAATATTATTACCTAAATAATAACAATATTATTATCTTATAAATAATAAAAATAATGCCTGGTTGGTATTATTTTCTGTATTGGCAACATACCATGTCATCAATGAGGGAATATCCAATAATCCAAATTTATGATGTAACTAATTATTTTGCTAATTTTGGCTATTAATAAGATATTCTTCATAGAAAAATGTCTCTGGTTTGCATAAATGTGTAAAAGATATTTTGCTTGCAGGGTTGGCAATTTTTTTTGATTTTATCAAAAAAATCAAAAATCGATGATTTTTTTTATTTTTTTCATGATTTTTTTTATTTATTTGATTTTTTTGATTTTTTCAGCTATTTTGTCTTTTTGAGGTGTTATTTTTTATGTTGAAATTAGCCTACTAACAATAACAGTATATGGATCATAATGGATGGCTAAAAAGGGCACTTATTGCCTTACTTAGTGTTACCTAAGTGTTTACCACTTAGGGATTTTGGGTGAACAATTATTGATAAGTCTATTCATTAGCTTTGTAAAGTTTGTATGAAGCAAGGTAATGAGCTAAATATTGACCATTTAACTGGCTTCAATATAATAAAACACTTCAGGAATGCAGATCTCCTAAACATTGAAGAGTCACATAACAGATAGGTAGCTGATAGCACAGTGCACAGCACTATCAATAGATCTACTAGTTTTATGTCCTATAAATCTACCAGACTCTACCTTCTATACACACTGACTAGTAGTGACTGAGTGACTGACTGCACTGTTCCCATTTAATTCAGACCAATAAACCAATACAAAACATAAACTGAATGATAACCAAGCAAACCTCATACGACTTGAAACAAGACTTAAGTTATGAGAAAAGCTAACACTGTTTGAAATAAACAAGTGCACAATTCAAATATTTTATATCCATTCACTGCATTTAATTATTTTATATATAGTCTTGTAATTGTAACTGTTTTGTTTCTAGTTTTAAATTCACATATTTAAAGATTGAAATTAAATATTTTAATTAGAATACTCGTATCGGCGACAGGCCTATTTTTTAAATGCCGAAGATACTATACTATATTAGGCTGGAAAATCTTTCTAATTGCCTTAAGAGGTCAATACAATCTCAACTTCTCAATATACAGGGTGGAGCAGATCCGATTGAGCAGTTTTGAGGTAAAATAAAAGAGTAATGGAGGTACATAACAAAGAAAGTTTATTTTCCTAGAGGTTAGCATAACATACCATTTAGAATACCTACTTATGTTTTGAAAACAATATCTGGAAGATGGGGGCTGTTAGCTGCAACACACTGTTGGAGTCGTTCTCAGAGGAGGAAGTAACCATGACAGTGAATTCCGATTGCTATGCTGCAATGTTGCAAAATTTCTTGCAGCCCATGATGGAAAACATTGTTGAAAATGAAGCATTGAGAGGCGTGTGGTTCCAGCAGGATGGGGCTACAGCTCACACAGCTCGAATGTCACTCAATGTTTTGAAATGCATGTTTCCCGGAGGTCTGGTGTCTGAGGGGTGATTTACAGTGGCCTGGAAGGTCACCTGATTTGAGCATTTGCAATTTCTTTCTTTGGGGACATCTAAAAGAAAGGGGTTCAGAAGTCGCCCTCACACCCTACCACAGCTAAGGGGTCAGATTATTGCAGCAGAGGTTATGGCCATAACTCGCCATATGTGTGAACGTGCTGTAGGAAACTTCCAAGAACGACTCCAACAGTGTGATGCAGCTAACAAACACCATCTTCCTGATATTGTTTGCAAAACATAAGTATTTTAAATGGTATGTTATGCTAATCTTAAGGAAAATAAACTTTCTTCTTTATGTACCTCCATTACTCGTATTTCGCCTCAAAACTGTTCAATCAATTCTGCCCCACCCTGTATAAGCTAGCTAACACATTTAAATTGTATATTGTAATCAACATATAACAAATAGTCAAATAGTTAGACTACTTATAGCCTTATAAGAATTAGCTAAGCTGCTAGCTACGTACAATGTATTGCATTCTTGATGCCTCTGTACCAAAAACATTCCATTTATTGGAACCTAATACACACTGAAGGCAACAAGTTTATATACCAATTTGTCACTCATAGTAAATTTATACTAAACCATGAATAACAATACCTCAATATAAATTAAAGACTGCCACTCAATATTTTTAAATATATGAAAAAATCAAAAAAATCAAAAAAATCGAAAAAATCAAAAAAATCATGATTTTTTTATAAAAAAATCAAGTGATTTAATCACATGATTTAATCATTTTGATTTAATCATTGCCAACCCTGTTTGCTTGTATGTCAACTCCCGCACAGTCATTATGAAAATGTCAAAGATGATGAACAGCAGCTTGTGAAAATTAATTACTCTTATAATGAATGTTCTTCAGAAAGACCACAGCTTTCCTACTATATGTGGACTGATATCTCCAGACTTGTTCATGTCCTGCTCTTCCTCCATAGGCTTCTTTACTGGTTTTAGTTTATTGAACTTGATTGTATAACTCAACTATCAGACTCCTGCAGTCATGCCTCGGGTAATGATCAAAGGCGGCGCTTGGCGCAACACAGAGGTTAGTAATCTCATGTTTATAAATAGCCTGTTTTTCATATTCATAGACATCTGCCTTATTTTGACCAATTTTAATTATATTGACAGGTTGAATGAAAAATTCTGTATATATCTGTCAATTGATTAAAATTGTCTCTTTTATTGCATTCATTATTGATAATAATAATATAGAAATCTATAATGAGTTGGAAATTGATAATGATAGAAATATATTGTAAAATACTGTAAAACCATAAAATACATTTTATACTTAATAACAATATTATATAAGATAATGTTTTCTGAGAATGGTTCAGACCAAAACATTTAATTATGATTTTTTCCTAGGATGAAATCTTGAAGGCGGCTGTTATGAAATATGGCAAGAACCAGTGGTCTCGGATTGCTTCTCTTTTGCATCGTAAGAGCAGCAAGCAATGCAAAGCTCGTTGGTTCGAGTGGCTTGACCCCAGCATTAAGAAGACAGAATGGAGCCGAGCTGAGGATGAAAAGCTGCTCCATATGGCAAAGCTTATGCCAACTCAGTGGAGGAGTATTGCTCCCATTGTGGGCAGAACAGCAGCTCAATGCCTTGAACGATATGAGTATCTTTTGTAAGTACCTATGGTGAACTGCATACAAATAACTGAGACACAAGCATCTCTTATTCCAGGATTCTGAACTTCTCAGGCCTATGGTTATTGAACATAGATGCATGCTAAAGGCTTGCATCTATTTATTTACAGTATGTTACATATTCCTACTATCATAGGAATAAATTTTCATTTGTTGTATGCTTGTCATGAAAGCAATATTTTTATTTATTGCCTAAAGGTGAATAAATTTTAGTGCAACTTTTATTCCATTGAGCATAAAAATATTTCATTTCATGAGATAAATAGATCACATCCATATGCTTGCATATATAGGTACTGCATTTACTTTTGAGTATCTAGAAACTGGGGCAGTAACAAATTAACTACCCAGTGGCAGAGATGAAAATACAATTGTTGACCATTTGAAAGAAATGCGTATATTTCTATATTAAATATTGCTTGAATTGCTTACAGAGACCAGGCCCAGAAAGGTGATGATGATGATGGAACTGACGATCCTCGAAAGCTTAAACCTGGCGAGATTGATCCAAACCCTGAGACCAAGCCTGCCCGTCCTGACCCAAAAGACATGGATGAGGATGAGCTAGAAATGCTATCTGAGGCCAGAGCTCGACTTGCCAATACTCAGGGCAAGAAGGCAAAGAGGAAGGTATGTAATAATCCAGCCTTGCTTCAAGTTGATTATATGCACTCAACATTAAACTTTATCCAATTCACCGGACCAATTGTCGGGCATTTTTGTTGTTGTAATTGCCTATCCTGGTGACTAGAGAGGGGCTTGATAGGTCGTCAGCCACAGTTAAATTTTTTTCAATTAATTTGATGTGTTGAATTGATTAAATTGTCTTGCAGGCCCGTGAGAAGCAGCTCGAGGAGGCTCGTCGGCTGGCAGCGTTACAGAAGCGCCGTGAGCTTCGTGCTGCAGGTATAGAGCAGGCGCCGCGGCGCAAGAAGAGGAAAGGAGTTGATTATAATGAAGAAATTCCATTTGAAAAGCGTCCTGCTATCGGCTTCCACGATTCAGGGCAGGTTTGTGAAACTATTCTCAGGTATTGAATCCTTTTTAATTCCTATTTGATCGTAATGGCTCTATTATTTTAGAGCAAATTTTGGGATTGAATAGAATACCCAAATTTCGGACTTTCGTGCTTTGTTATAGTTAGATGTACAAATTGTATGCTTAAAATCTCTCTGTGGTATATAATTTGTGTCAAAGAAAGTCTTCTATGTGCAGTGTGATTAATTTATCACGATTAACAATGTGCAGGATGTGTATGTTGCCAAGGAGCCAGACTTCAAGCGATTGAGACAACAGCATCTGGACGGTGAATTACGTTCTGAAAAGGAAGAACGCGCACGTCAAAAGGACAAGCTGAAGCTGAAGAAGCTCCAGGAAGAAGGAGGTGCGGGGCCATTTGCAGACGATTCTTTTACTATCAAGAGTAAGCGCAGCAAGCTGGTGCTCTCAGACCCGCAGATGAGCGAGTCTGAACTGCAGCAAGTTATCAAGTTGGGAAAAGCATCGCAGGCAGCTAGAGAATTGGCTGAAGAAGGCGGTGATGGAGCCAGTGAAGCTCTGCTAGGGGAGTACACTCCCCTCACCCCCGCCACCGCCATCACCGCGCGTACCCCAGCTGCCGTTGACAACGTCATGGCGGGCGCTCAGGACCTCATGGCCCTCACCCATGTGGACACTCCGCTTAAAGGAGGCCTTAACACTCCACTTCATCAGCCACACATGGGTCAGCTGGGTCCTGCAGCGCCCCAGACCCCCAATGCATTGCTTTCAACGCCTTTCAGAACACCGCAAGTTATGGATGGTAATGCCACTCCTGGAACTCCTGCTTCTATCAGGAGTATCTCCAGCAGCCTTGCAGGTGGCACTCCTGGAGCCACTCCCCTACGGGACCAGCTCGCCATCAACGTCGAGCGCGCCCTTATGCCCGCAGACTCAACTCGTGCCCTGAAGCATTACCAGCGCGCCGTACGCTCCTCACTCCAAGAATCTCTCAGCGCTTTGCCCACTCCTGCTAACGACTTCGAGATCGTTGTGCCTGACCAGGACCCAGACTTGATGGATGATGACGCGTCAAGCCAGCATCAGGTTAGGAAATGATTCTCATTGATTATACTAATGCTTGGGAACATAGTGTTCAGATTCAGAACACTTCGAATGTTGAAAGAATTGTTAGCAGTAATATTTACGTGATACATGGATTAGAGTTTAAACTAAGACCACTGTGATGGCGTATGGTACATAGTATAATAAATATAATTGATCGACATGATTAGTTCCGTGCTGCTTTGTTTAGCTAATTATTTATGCAAGTGCAGTTGGAAATTATCAAAGCAAAGATCGTAGTCTATATCGCTGTGAATGAAATATTCACAGTCTGAACGTCATGTTACAGGTTGAAGATCAGGCCGACGTGGACGCAAAGCGCGAGGCTGAAGCAGAGGCTCGGCGTGTTGCGGAGCTTTCACGCCGCTCGCAGGCTGTGCAGCGCGACATGCCGCGCCCTCACACCATCAATAAGAGCGTCTTGCGCCCCCCCGACGTGCACTATACCGACCTGCAGAAGGCGGAGGAGCTCATTAAACGTGAGATGGTCGTCATGCTGCACTATGACGCTTTGCACTCGCCCACTTCTGCTGCTGCTGGCAAGAAGTCATCACAAGACGCTGCTCATGCTGAATACCTGCACACTCATCCCTACAGGACTTACTCTGAGGAAGATATCGTTCAAGCCAAGAAGCTGCTTAGCAAAGAAATGCAGGTGAGATAAAACTTAGACATGATATTTAAATGGCCTTTTCAAATTTCAGGTTTCCAAAAATGAATATATTTTCACATCGCATTTTTTCCTGTTCTAGTACGAATTCGGAATATTTTTCTTATGTTTACTGCTTCCGCTTTGCTTAATCATTGATGTCACCGGCTGTATTAAAGTGTGTTATTTTATGTGCGCAGGTCGTGAAGCAGGGTATGAACCACGGGGACCTGACCCAGGAGGCGTACAGCCAGGTGTGGGAGGAATGTTTAGCACAAGTTCTCTTCTTGCCGTCACAGAGCAAGTACACGCGTGCAAGCCTTGCGAGCAAGAAAGACAGAATCGAGTCTCTGGAGAAGCGGCTTGATCAGAACCGAGCACACATGGCCCAGCAAGCCAAGCGAGCTGCCAAACTAGAAAAGAAGCTGAAAATTTTGCTAGGTGGTTACATGGCTCGCGCAGCCACTCTCACCGCCAGTCTTGGAGAAGCCCAGCATCAGCTTGAGAACGCACGCCTCGAGCTTTCTACCTTCAAATTCTTGCAAGAACTTGAGGCCGTTGCCGTACCCAGGAGATTGTCCACACTGCAAGAGGACGTAGAGCGACAGAAAGAGCGAGAGAGAGAGCTTCAGCGACGCTACCAGAGTCTTACAAATGCATTAGAAGATCTTAAACTAGCGTATGAAGATAAAGAAGAGGAAGTTGAAACGCCTGTAGAAATTCAGGAGGAAATTATAGCTGAAGACGTGACTAGCAATGATACGTCAGCAACTGACCAGCGTCTTGAGGCTGATAAGAATGAAGAAAATTCCCAAAATTCGATAGCTTCGAGTGTGTCGTTGAATGGCGATGAATCTGATGATGAAACAAGTACTTCACCGCCGCCTGGTCATAACGGTGTCGCACGATCAGCAAAACGTAAACGTGGTGACGATGGCGAAAAAAGTGATGGCTATTCGTCTGACAGCTCACGCTCTTCGTCGGAGAGCTCTGACAGTGAACTGGCTGGCGATGCTGTCACGCCGCCTCTGTCACCCTCAGTTCCTGTCATCAACGGTGATACCAACGGCGTCGTCACAGCAACTGCTGATGAGCCTCCAGCAGCTGATGATCCCATGGAGGAATAACTCCCTACTTTATTCATACCTTTTAGTTCCGTTCCTCGAACGTACTATAAATTAGAATACATTTTTGGCACACCATTTGAACAAAATGTGGACATCTTTTATTGAGGTAGAAGGTTGTTAATCGTGCTTCGATATTATAAATTTATCAACTCAAACGAAACATTTTTAGTTAAATACAAATGAGCAGTTAGGATTTATTATAGTTTAGGAATGTTATGGCTTGAAAGATATCCATATCGAATCATTCTAAATTCACACTTGTACTGTTTCTTCCATCACATAAGTGAATTGTTATTTATTGAATATTTCGGTCTTTATAATACCAAAAAAAGTATCATTCCTCTGCACTTTCAAAATTTTGCCTGGTAAGCAAAGCCCGAACATTCTCGGAAGAAATGTAAGCAGCAAGCACTTCAGTTCTTTGACATCAATTTCCTGAAAATTTCTGAAATTGGCTTCATCTCTTTCAAATTTCATGAAATTTATTTCAAATGCCATGCTGTATAAATTTTTAATTCGCGCTTAAATAATCCGTGCTAGCATGGTCAGCAATATTAGCTTTTCACGTTTTGTCAGATAAACAGATCTTCGCTAGATTAATTCATTCCTGCTAGATAATCGTTTTATTACCTCGTGAACGTGTACTCGCATTCCTGATCCAAAATTTCCTAACAAACACTATTGTTTAAATAATATTAAGCTGAAAATAATTTAAATTCAGCTGTAAAATACTTGTCAGTGAGCCACGGTCTTCCTGTTCGATACATTTCATGTAAATAACATTGAAAGTCATTTCCTTTTTCTAAGTCCTTGGAATGTTATGTGTTGAAAATCGATCTATGTTCACTCGTGTCGCAACAATGTTTTGCTCGATTTGTTAGTCTCTGCCCAGGTCTTGGTTTTTGACGATGAAAAACTTGAGAAAGATGCTGCGTGCAATGATTAGAAAGATAGACGTAACTTGTCTGAAATAGAAGGTATATTGTACCAGACTTCTGACTACAGTCTTGTCGTCTAAAGTTGTCCTTATCGAACAATGAGGAACAAAAATCTTGTAGAATGAACTTTTTAATTCAATGAAAAACGACGTTTTTCGTTGATGTGATGATTGTGCATTGTCGGTAAAGTATCATTCAGTGGTGTGTGTTGCGATTACGAGTCGAGATCCATGATATTATGTGAAACCCATGATTGATTTTAAATTCTCGAGTTGGCGGGATTTTTTTTACCTTGCATCAATATTTCAATGGACACAGCTGTCAAATGAGCGTACTGCTTTGCATGCCGGCGGCACTGTCACGTGATGAGGGCGATGATCGAGTTAGTAGCCTCTCCATCAGGTTATGCTGATACTACCTGAGGAAATCTGCCGCTCACTGTGATCACTGTTATTATTAAGGCATATGCAAAAATATAAACTAAATTGTATGTATACGCCATCCTTATCATGAGACACGATCGTCATCGGAGTGCACTGCTGTTCTGGTTACGTGCTGCGAGGAGCCAAAGAATCTGCATGAAATTTTAATACAAAGATCATGAGCGTCTCTACTCTTTTGCGCAGACGAATGTACGAGATGAACACAAATGCAATTAAATCAAGTTTGAAGGCGGCCTATGAGGTGCCAAGAGAGGAATGGATGATAACAGTACAGGGTGCAACAGGGATTGAATGGTATGTCAAAGAATGGAAGTAATAGAAAAGAGAGTGAAATCATGTTCTTTAAGAGTTTGGAAGCAAGGAATGAAAAGAAAGGACAGCTTGAAATTGTACAAGATGAATGAGATCCAAGGTATGTATGAGTACATATATGATGGAAGTAGAGGTGGAGACCTACTGTTCTGTGCGAGAGCAAATGCTTTGAGTGTGAATGCACGGACATACAGGTGGAATGAAAAAAGAGAGGATATATGTTTTATGTGTGACAGAGGGGAGAGGGAAAGCGATTTTTCGAGAGTGCATGGAGAATGAGGAAGGGGAGGAGGCTGACAAGATGGAGACCGGATGTGTAAGGAAAACAAAGCAGTGATGAAATAAGAATAACCGCATCAATAATATATTAATAGAATACAAATAGTCATTCAGAGCCTAAGAGGTCACGTAACTAATTTAGATGTAAAGTTTACAGTGCAATAAATGGGATATATAAATAATAAACCATATAAATTCCTTCTTGAATTCATCTTCCCCTTGTTTTTTCTACATCTCACCCTTAACGCAAACTTTCTCACCCATCTAGTCTCTCCTTTAATGTCGCTTCTACCTGGCTAGGTCTCCCTTTCTCCTTCCTACAAATAAAATGAATATGCGATGCGTGGCTGATGGCCGTTGAAAGGCCTGAGTCTGGAAAGTCCTTCTTCAGAACAGAGTCACCGCGCCCCAAATCCAAAGCCAAAGCTGATCTTATAATCTTGGCGAAATAAGCCCTGGTCTTTTTTCTTCATTATAGACAGTGAAGAAACGCCTATTGCGGATCGGCTTGAGAATAGTGCAAAAAGATTGATCTTCTATATGTTATTCACAAATAAACGATCATTACAGCAGGATAATGTACCCTATTTGCTTTGGGGTTAAATTTATCATTCAATCTGGTTAATGACTGCAAGTTGCAACTGTTGCAGTTCTATCAGTTTTATCAAAAAATTTCATCGATTCATTCATTAAATAATGGTAAAACTGCTCACTCTATTCATGGACGAGAAATTACTAATTTACATGCCTTGAGATTGTTCTATCTCGTATTGATTGGTTTGTCTTAAGGGGACCGGCTACCCTCCGGAAAAACTTCTACAGTTATTATTCGATCATCATGAAACTTCACATACATACGTAAAATGTAAAAAAAAATAACATTTTGCTCCTATGAATTTTTCGAAAAAATTGATAGAAAACGTGAAATTCATAGAAAACGGCTAAAAAGGGGGACTTTAGAAATCCGCTTTACGTCAGACGTTCCTTTTTAGTGTGTCTAGCCTTCTAATTAATCCCATAGGCTTTAGTTAAGGGCTCTAAAAACTCCCTCCCTTCGGGTGGCTGTTACGAAATCATTTTTCGACATAGAGGAATGATTATGGTACCGTTGGATGCGTCAAAAAGTAAGCTTTAAAATGAGCCCAAAAATTTTAGGGTAGCCGGTCCCCTTAACTTACTCTGACCCTTGAATAAAGGCAAAAAAAACATCGTGCTATGGTTCGAAACTTACTACTTCAGTGTCAACATAAACATCTGACGCCCATAACTTCAAGAGCGAATGTTAGCAAATGGCAATTGGGAGTTTGCGATGGGCTGGCGTGGTTCAGGTTCAGCAGCAGTTCAGCTACGTTCGTGGGGGGGGGGGGCGGTTGAGCCACGATACATTATTATTATAGCGTAACATTAACGTGCGACTAGTCCAAGATAAAATTGATTGATTAGCGAACTAATCAATCAATTTATATGAGAATTAGAATTTATATTACGAGTACATATGTAATCTCATCCAAAGGTGGCGGGACTAAACCTCAAGGTCCGTCTAGTTTCGGGATCTATGCTGGCTTTCTTGTGTTTTCTCTTCCGTTAATTAGAAGCGCCAGAAGACACCAAACAGGCACTGCCACTGCTGCACTGCACACGCTGATGCTGGCACAGTGGCACTGGCACTGCTGCACTGCACACGCTGATGCTGGCACAGTGGCACTGGCACTGTCTGGCAGTGCCTGTGCAGTGTGCAGTGCAGTAGTACTTAGCTTACTACGCGCGAGCGGCGCGGCCTAGAAGGTACAAGGTGACGGAAGGTGTTCTGTAAGCAAGTCGAGGACTGAAGCCTTTAGTTTGAACTGTTTGAGTAGTTTCTAGTTAATTTAGTGGCAGCTAGAGCAGACCAGCCTGAGCCTTGAGGATTTGACTGTTTGACAGACTGACTGGGACTGAGTGACTGGCTCTGAGCTGAGTCTGAGCCAGACACAGACTCTCCTGAAGCAGTGCCCAGACACTAGGTAAAATTGTTAGCCTACATCCAATCAGGCTGCAGGCAAGCACTGATTTGTTACCATTTAGCTAGTATATATGAGTCAATATAAAAGGATAATAATTTATTACTATTTTTAGTATTTTATAGCTATTAATCCTATACTACTTGGAGTTTGGACTGAAATTATTAGCAGCAAGCATGGAAAAGTTCTACCATTAGGGCTGAAACTAGAGCTTTGAGCTTTCTCACCATTTCTGGAACTGTGCGATTTCTGTTAGATGAATTAACTCATATCTAATTGTTAACAAAAGTGCATGATCAAGCTGCAAGATTCCAAATGTATTGAAAATTTGTCCCATTGGGGCTACTGGCCATGAGATTTCAGAAACAAGAAGGGATATTCCAATCCTGAATTAGCAGGAGTACAAATGAAAATTAAAAGCCAGAAGTATTGTAGTAGGACAGGTAGGTCTATTATTTACCCACGGTAACCACCAGCCACCAGCCCACCACCACCTCACCTTTCTATTTTGGCTGCTCATTAATTCAACCTTAAAGTCCTCAGTCATCACTAATTTTATACCTAATGCTTACAAACTACAAAGCAACATCTGGGTCTCTGGTCTTGTAAATAATTTTGTTGCAATTTTTCAAGAACTGACAACTTGGTTGTATTGTGAAGTTTTTTTTTTGCCTGCTATAGTAAACTGCCTTGCACCTCATGACCTCAATGAGAATTTGTTATTCTATAAGTGAATAGGTACCTTGGATCTCCATGTCCATATCCCATTTATGAGGTTATATATTTAGGGTACCTCAAAGAAAATATCATTACCACCATCATAACCTTGAAGTTTATTTCAAGATTTGGCAATTGCAGGAATCCAAAGTTATACTGCATTTTTTTTAATTATGTATTTTAAAGAAATGTTGCCATAAGCAAAGTTAATTATTTATCTTATCCTTTCTGATTTTTATTAATAATCTTGTCTGCATTTTTAGGTAAATTTACTTTTCACCTCTGGCATTAAATACAAACACAATATGGACCAGGTTGCAGAACGAAAATTCAGAGTCTTGAAGCGTCTTGATAAGGTGCGTTGTAATAATTTATTAATAAATTTCATTGAGATAAAGTATCATCTTGGGCAATCAGTGCCCTGAGCCTAATTCAAATTGATAAATATCTCAAATTTTTATTGGTTTACTTCTAAAAATGTTCTTCTATTTTCAGGAAATGGAGAGTCTGAAGGCATTGCAAGATTTAGGGAATCGATCAAGTACAACAGCTGGAGGCATGGTGACCATTCTTGACTCATTTGAACATCGCCTTGCCAAACTTGAGACCACAATCCTTCCTGTTTATCAACAGACTGGCAATCTTCAGCGGAGACATCACAGTCTGTTGAAGTCAACCAATAATTTTTTCCTTTAATAGTGAAAATTATTTCATTTTCATGTGAAATTGGCATCGTTACAACTAAATTAGCTTATATATATGTTTGGTTATCGGTAATTATTTGAAATAATTTGATGAAATAATGGTAATGTTTGTTACAAAGTCATGGATAGAGTTGTTCATTGATGTCATTCAAAGTAATTATTTTGAACTACTTCTTCAAAATCAAACTTTAGTTCACAATCTATGGGGTTTTTGAAGTGCTTATAACTTATAGTGTGTTATGACTAGGAGTATATTCATTCGATCAAGTGCAGTTAGTTATGTTCATTTGATTTGTTTTCAGACATTGAGAAGACCCTGTCAGCCTTGGATCATGTGCTGTCTTTTTATAATGCTGCTGGTTAGTATCATAGTTGTCTCTATATAATATAGTTGGTGTCCGAGCCTTAAATTATTAAGTGTGTCAATATCATGAACTAGGAAGTTCAAATTCATTGAAAGTACTTAAATTTTTTCCTGTTATTGCATGCCAACTGATTTTCTATATTTTCTTCAATTGTTCCTATTTTTGGTAATCATTAAACTATGTCCTTCATTCTATCCCAGCCTAAGAGTAATGGATCATGAAAATAATGAAAATAATAAATCATTATTAAAAATAAAACTTAACTTGTATATAGATGATATTCATCAACTTTTATTATGTTCTTTTGCCGAATTATATTCTGGCGTATAGGTACCATAGGTCAAGGCTATTATGGCTAGTATGACAGTTTCAACATTTTGTGTTGATTGCTGGTAGTTTTTTATAAAAACCTTAATCTTCTAGTTTTCCCCACATTCAATAATTTCATGAATACATTCTGTATTATCAAAATCCATCTGAGAAGCATCAGGTTTATCATCAGGTTCAAATTAAGGATTTCATGATTAATTAAAATTTTTTAGGCACTCTGGCTGCTTATGAAACTTTGCTTGATAATTTCATTGCTCTAATGTGTGTTGGTTAAATCTTTACTGACATTTACCAGATAACCAAGCTTTTTAGCTGTGGTTTTTGTTCTGGTCTAATCCACACCTACATTCTTCCTCAGGTGAAACTGAAGCCATAATCCGCAGTGGTCGTCCCAGCGAGAGTCGAGGAGGAGTTGCCAGCTATCTGCGTGCAATGGATCAGCTGGCTGCGGCCTGCCATTATTTCAGATCACACAACCCACAGAGTGTTGAGCTCAGCAATGTTGTGAGATTTGCTTTTCCTTTTCTAGGATTTGAAATTACTATAAAATTTTTCTAACTGTTATTGTTGCTTCACTGGAAAACAAAATACCTTGTTAAATTATTTTGAATGAGGTTTAAAAATATTTTCGTTCATTGATACACTCAATTCTCACACTTATCATGGGTGACATGATTTTTTTTCTATGATTGTAAGACTATGAAGCTAATAACTAATATTATCCTTTCGTTATTCATTCTTCTTACAAATAGGATAGGCATTAGAGAGAGGGCAGAAAATTTGGAATAGCTGCTTTTTTATTCGTGTTGATGGTCATAATTTAATTCTAGTTAGCGCATTTTCTCATTTATTGGAAAAATATAACTCAGTACTCACGGCAGTGAGTGACAGAAAGCGAATTTTCTCGTGCATAAATCAGTTTTCGTTGCGATTAGTACAGTGCATTAGAGCTAGGATGTCGTATCTTTGATACATGCATGCCCGCTTCCTAAAATCGACGAAAACGTGAAGTCACGGACGGACAGACAGACGGACATGGCGAGCACAATAGTGCATTTTTTCTATGAAGAGAAAATGCGCTAAAAATTCCCTATTGTGCTCGTCGTGTCCGTCTGTCTGACCGTCCGTCTGTCCGTGACTTCACGTTTTCGTCGACGAGAAAATGCGCTTTCTGTCACTCACTGCAGTGCGTACTGAGTCATTGTTATAAGTTTTACTTGCTTTACAGTGCACGCTGTTTGATGCCGGCAGTGAGGCTCTCGGTCGCGAGTTTCGGGACGAGCTGAAGAAATATCAGCGGCCACTCAACCCAATTGTGACTCTTGACCTCATAGCCCTCGAGGGAGACGGTCAGTGATGGCTGCCTCCTACTGCCAAAAAAATTTGAAAGTGCTTAATTACAATAACATGTAGGTACGTAATATTGTTCTGAATTTAATCAACAACTGCAAGACTATTGTTTCGATTTTTCATCTAGACATTTATTTTATTTTTGTAAGGAATAACGATGCTTGCATTTTCACTCAGTTTTTTTTTTTTTTTTTTGTATGAGCCCAACTGCTATCCTTAAGGCTGCTTATTCAAATTCAATTTGTTAGTATTTCAAGTAGTGAATTCCAAAAATACTTCTTGCTCATTTGAAACAGTACTCAATTGCGTAAAAAACATAAAATTTATTCAAATTTTGTGGTCTCATTGATTTACTTGGTTCATATACTGCTCAAATACCACCAACTTGAGGCGTTATGTGCAGAGCTCAGCGAAGAAGCCCTGTCCAGCATAGAGCTTATACCTGCTGCAGCACGAGACGATCTGGCTCTCATTGCGGCCTGGCTGGACAAGCATTCCCACTCCGACAAGCTCACTGTTTATGCCAAAATCAGATCCCAGACTATGATGCAGTCTCTTCAGGTCAGTTGTCCAGATGTAGTCTGTATTCTCTTCAGACAGGTTCGCCCGGTGTAGTCTGGCTGTGGTCTAATTGCCCAAATTCACTTTTTTTTTATTCATTGATAAAGAAAATTAAGCTACACTGATGCAGCTTGTTGCTAGAATCTTTGTTTCAAAGTAAGCAGAATATTTTTGATAGTTACTTTGAATTTAATTTGCATTGCATTCAAATTTTTATCAATTGTCAACCCGGTCAACCTAAGGATCAACTGTAATTCTAACTGAATTCTATCGAACATGTGTATGGACGGCTATGCATTTGTTGTATTTCACGTATATTTTATAATAATTGGTTAATTGTTGCTCCTATTTCACTAGAGCTTGTTTACTATTGGGCATCAGTTATGCCGCCTCATGGGTTGCGTTTGTTCTGCGTATTTTTCAGGCACTTCGAGACCATCAACGAAACAACAGCGCCGAGCGCGGGGGCATCCGCGGCCTGGCTAGCGGCATGCCTGCTGGTGGGCACTGACGAACTTTTTATTATCTCAGTACTGTATGTTCGATGAAGTTACACAAACGTCTTTTCTTAAAAATTCAGAATTTAACTTTTTCATTTGTTTTTTCTGATGATAATTTTTTGTACTACATCGGGTTTCAATTAAATGATTGGTGATTTAACTTTTTGAACAAATTGCTAGCCGTTTTCCACTCAATGATTGAGAACTCACGATGATGAGTGATTTCTAGCTTATTTTATTTTCAAGATGTTTCATACCTCAAATCCGTGTAAAAATTCGGCCTCTAAAACAATTCAAAAGTCTAGTTTTTCTTTTGTTTCCTTCAAATTTAGTTGGAAAATATCACTCTGATGAAAGAGTTCATGCTACAATTATATCAAGCTCTTGCCTCAGGTCTGACGAGCCTGACGCCATCCAGCATGGTGGGCAACTCACCGGCCCCCACGCTGCGCTCTCGTCTTGCATCAAATAAAGTTGATTTTACCCCCAAGAGTCGCTCACACAAACTCACTAACATGTCAGTGTCCGCTTCATAATAAGTATTTGCCTGGTATGATTGCATGATAAATTATGAACATAGTCACAAATAACTCATTTGAGATACGGTATACCTTGTTAAAAATATACCTACTGCGGCAACTTTCAAGTTCTCTAATTTTGTGCTCATTCAAGTACACGTTTCTTTGAAGTACTTCATGCCATGATAAATTTTGTAAATCCTCAAAAGTCAATCCATTAAGTAATTTTTAATATGGATTAAAATTTACTAATTAACTTTCAGGGGGGGTAAAGTTATCCAGCATCCATTCTCGTGTATTGTTTTTATTTTCTTGCTCACCATAGAACTTAGTCATAGATCTCTCAAATTTTAGCATTCCCTTGAAGTTCGGTTGAACCAGACGCCACGATAATCTCATTGTAGAAAAATAATATAGTTATTCCTCTGTCAGGCTTGAGCGCCGCACAATGCAGATGCTGCAACGCGCCAAGGGCCGCTCAGCAGGCCTGCTGTCAACAAGTGGCACTCCTACCTCGCCTTTCTCTCCATACTCGCCAGCGTCGCCTTTCTCTGCTGGTCAGTTCAATCGTACATTTCTCTAGACCTATTATATTCTACATCACAAGCATTTCAGAAATACTTTCCTCTTACATCTGAATTATTCACTGGTAAAAAAATCGCTGTTCGGTTGAATTGACTTGTGATACAGAGTTCTTGGATGTGACCTGTTGTTCACTTCACACGTTTTGATACGCAAAGGCAGCCTGATTTGGCTGACAGGATTGTTGCACTGTTGCAGAGAACTCAGCACAGTTTGGGTTCTGGACTCGTGCTGGCTGCTGCCTCAGTGCCCGCTGTAGGTCTCGTGTCGTGACTTGCTTGTGCGCTCTTGGTGTTCAATAAACCGCCTTGTGCCAGCACCAGCATTCCTGCCCCTGCTGAATTTATTTTTTTTAAAACGCACTATCCACCATAACATGCCTACAACACTTGATAAATAATAAAAATTAAATACATTGAGGTTTTGGAGCCTATGGCGAAGTGTCTCTATTTTTGTCACGTTGACACTTGAAGGTAGAAACCCTAGGACCTAGGTCCTAGGATAATTACTTCACCACCGGTCACTTCCAAATTTTGGTTCACTTTTGCTGCTGTATTTTTGCGAAAATTTCAGTTGTCATCAATTTACTTGCATTGCTTTTGCCGTGTTTCACCAAATATGACTTGACGTTCTGGAACTAAACTCTTTGTGTGTTTCACAGCAGTCCTACTGCAGTCTTACTCACATTTGTATGCCACTGATTTTCAGTTTTTTTCAAAGTCCGATGTTTTAAATTTCAACAAAGTTTCTTGCACGAAATATTTCTGATATTAGTTTTTGTTATTTACGCTATTTGCGCCATCAGCTGGTAAGAGTTATATTCTGGATGTTGTGCATAAGAAACATTGATTAACTTTTTCATCTCATTTCAGGTGGGTCAGCTTCTCCTAGCTTGGCAGCGACTGCAGAAGAAACTCTCGAGGACAGCGATGTTCTGCTCTACTTTGCACAAGTTTGTAAACTTTCACTAATGTTAATCTATTTTATTTTTTTATTTATGTGATTGTTATTGCTTTGCCTTCAAGATCTGGATTGTTGAGTGAAAAAGTTTTATGGGATCTTCTCGAGTCCCTGCTGAGGACAGTCAAAGCAACACGTGACTTTATTAGTTTAGATTGATAAATTGGAAGCATGCCCGTAAGGCTTGTGACAATATTGCACCCATTATTCATGTCAGGCGGTAGAGGGTTAATTCTCAGGGTAGGCCAGAGGTGCGGTCTTAGGTGTTCGTTCGGACTGCAAATGCGTCCAAAATTGACCCTGAATTTTGGTTATTTTAAAATTTAATTCCCTAACTAGCCTATTTCAAATTTAATTCCCGATCCCTAGCATAGACAGTCATTGTATGAAAGTGCTAAGGTTTAGTGATAACAAGATCTGAAGCGCTAGAAACCTCTCCCCTACGACTACTACTTAGTGATAACAAGAGTCGCTCCAGAGACTATAGGGACTATAATGTGTACAGGTAAGTGCGGTGGTGAGGCTGGGAGCTCTTGAACAGCGGCAGCTCGAGGCGCTCGTGCCACCCCAGCGTCACGTGAGCACCTTAGAGACGCTCCTGCGTGAGCCCATCGATCAACTGGCAGCACAGGGCGAGGTGAGGATGCTGAGTACAATTTCTAGTACATCTGCGTTTATTTCTGGACTATTACAAGTAAATTATTATTATTGCGTTGTATTATTCCACAGATACCCAATACATTTGCGTTGCTAAATAAGGCATTTAGATGACATGTGAGAAATTATTACTTTCATAAGTAGACTTGGACATGCCTGTCGATGTCATGGGACTTATAGTTTTGCCCATATCTCTCAGCATGTAAGCAGTTGCGGTCTGAAGTCAATGCAGCGAGGCGACAGCAGTGCGGTGATGTGTCTGCTGACGTTGCTGCGTCACCTGAACGCTTGCTTGCCAGAGTACGAGCGTCTGCTGCAGAACTGCCACGCTTCTCTCCTCGCCAAATACACCGCCATCGCCACCAGCATGCGCCTTAATGTCAGCTTCAAGTTTAGCAGTGAAAACATAATTGACACTGCCTATCGAATTAATAATTCGATAAGCAGTGAAATAATCGAATGTGTTGAATCCTTGTTCCTATGAACTGCTACTGGTACATACGTGGCATCGCCAGCAAGAGGCGCCTGAATGTTGTGGTCAAGCTAAACATAAATTGGGGAATTTTCAAATACGTTGAATCCGTTCGATATAACCGGCTACTGCTGCATTGGGCCTCGGTCTTTGCTGGGGTTTTAACGTTGCTCCTTAATATCACTAATTTATAATGATAGAGAGATTGGACATTTTTGTAACTCGTTTTGCAAAATCAGGATAATTGTACATTTCCTATCTATTAAATCTGAATACCGTATCGTATCCTTTAAAAACGCCTTGCGTTTTATCAAAATCTCATTACGGTACACATTTGTAGCAGCGTGTGACATTGATATTTTTTTTTGGAAATTTATCAAGCTTTACGGTACTATATATTAGGTGTTTAGTAGGTGTCTTTACTGACTTTATGATACGAGATCTCAAATCAGTTGATTCTACACACCATATTACATGACCTGTGGAGTTGCATGACTCACCCCCTGCCCCTTACGACAGGTGGTGCCCCATGACTCACCCCCTGCCCCTCACGACAGGTGGTGCCCCATGACTCATCTCCTGCCCCTCATGACAGGTGTTGCCCCATGACTCACCCCCTGCCCCCACGACAGGTGGTGCCCCGTGACTCACCCCCTGCCCCCACGACAGGTGGTGCCCCATGACTCACTCAGCAGCTGCAGGTGGGGGTAATACGCTGTTCTTCGTGCAGCAGCTGCAGGTGGGGGTAATACGCTGTTCTTCGTGCAGCAGCTGCAGGTGGGGGGGTAACTTCCATGTCTTGCGTTTGACTGTTGACGTTCACTGCAGGAATACACGAGCGCCCTGGGCTGTATCCTGCTGGAAGACGCGTCGCTGCGCGCGACAGCGAGCGTGCAGGTGCCAGGGCCTGGTGAGCAGCTCTCCTTTGAGCAATGCTCGGCTCTCCTCGCTGCCTACATCAGTGAGTCCAATACAGGATGTCTGCCTCTAAAATTATCTGTTATCTTTACCTTAGTAGGGACTGAATTTACCTTAACGTTATTTTTACTTAATGTTTTAGTAGTCATTCTGTCAAAAATCATACTTGGCACATACAGAGATTGATTTTAGTTCCTAAATTGTCGAGTTGAGTTTGAGACTTCGTCTATTCGTTTTGCAAAAAGCGACTCGAATTTGAGTTTACAAAGCAACTTTTATTCTTAAAGTGAGATTTGGGGTGTTAATTCAAATTGATTCAGCATTAGCAAAAAAAAGCGAGCACAAGGGAAAAATTTTCATTTAGGTATGTTAAGAACAGAGTATTATTTAGTGGATTACCCATGGATACTGTATAGTTTAATGCCTAAAAATTATAAAATACTTGAAATTATATCCTCTTCGAATACCTAGATGTGAAATATGTAAAAGTCAACAATAGTGTTTCAGTTTTATACCGAGTTATTCGGCGTTGAAAAATAATCTAAAATATACTCATCAATGTTCTCTTACGCTAAGAGTTTCCTTATCGTTGTGCAATTTTTGTTCTGACGTCATCCGTTAGCGTCAGAACAATCGTTGCCGTTTTTCTGACATCCACTCTCGTCAACGATTCATTATTTACTTTCGCTTGGACTATTCTAAAGTACTTAAGCATAATTCTACTGTGAGCAGAACGAGTGCTGAGCAACCTCGGTCTCTCCATCGTTCAGCGCAGTGAGGCTTACAGCGATGTCACTCTACGCGCCGTCTTCCGTCTCAATAATTACAATTACCTGCTGAGCACCCTGATGAGTACGGGCCTTATGGCGACCCTCGAGCTCGTCGAGAGCCACGCCAAACAACATTACCGCGACCAAATCCTTCAGCAGAAGAAGCTCTACTCCCAGAGGTCGGAGTTACTGATTTTTAAATTACATGACAGTATGATGTTTTTAGCGCATTTTCTCATTTATGGAAGAAATGAGCTATTGTGCTCGTCATGTCCGTCTGTCTGTCCGTCCGTCTGTCCGTGACTTAACGTTTTCGTCGACGAGAAAATACGCTCTCTGTCACTTACTGCAGTGAGTACTGAGTTATATTTTTTGTTGTGATAGTTACCGGAGTTACAAGACGTCAGCCGCATGAGGATTTTGAGGAAATAAATAATGATGATATTGTGCAGCACCAATCTTCGGCAGAAAACGAGCACCAAATAGCATCGTTAATTTTATAAATTCATCTTGTCTTGGCAAAATTGTGAATACTTATGTGTCTCAGTAGCATGCATATTGCAATCTTTCTAACAATTGAATGGAAGAGAGTGCAAGCTCAAGTCCCTCCTATTGTAAAATAAGTTAGCTACTCGGGTACAATTCTTCACTATTATCCATTCTTTGAAGAATTTCAGCATTCGGTAGTCAATCATTTGACAACGAATCTGTCATCATGAACGCGCATCTTATTTTTTGGATTATTGACGTTTTCATGTACAAATGATTCATACAACCGTTAACCACACATTTACTCTTGGTAGAAACTAACTTTTTGTTCGACCTCAACAGTAATCAATTTACCGATGTTTGAATAGTTGGAGTGCAGTTTTGCACCACCTGTGTCCAGCTGAAGAGCTGCCTGCCGCCCAACTCACTGCTGGAAAAATTAGAGACCGAGATCGCCAGATACTCAAGGACAGATTCTCGGTGAGTTTTACTGCCGTGAAGGAATCTAAACAATGCTAGACATCCTACGCTTGTAAACTTAATCATTCGAGTTGATCATTCGTGGCGTTACTTTGTCCTCACAATATGTTCATTGTTCAAGCACGTTCTCCACTTCCAAATAAATCGTCATGACCGCGTTCTTCTTTAACGGAAATAACAATACTGCTGGGTGATATTCGATTGTCAAGAACTGTAAAGTAATTTGTCTGTAACTTCCAGGGCTTCAACAAAGAGATTGAGGAAATGCAGCGTGTGCAGAGAAGTTACAGCATTCCTGACCGTCAATTGCGCGAGAGCCTCAAGCGCGACAACAAAGAGTACATTCTACCTAAATACCAAACTTTCTACGACAGGTAAGTTGGAAGAATTACTTTACACACAATTTTGCCACGAGTTTCACTTGACAGAAGTATCGTTCAAATCTTGGTCTAAGGATTTGTTAACTGCCGTCAATACAATTCGAAACTAAAACCCCGGTAATTGCATATAATATCAGAAAACCGAATGATAACCCGTCGTCAATATTATTTTCATTTGAAGGCCGCGTATCCTTAGTTAGCATCAGTTTATAGAAGGTGCACGGGAACGGTTAATTAGTAAAAAAATCAAGTCAAGGTATCGTATCATCGTGCGTGTTGCGCAGGTACAGCGGCGTGCCCTTCAGCCGCAACACCGAGAAGTACGTGAAATACACGCCAGCAGAAGTGGCTAATCTCATGGACAAGTTTTTCGACGTGGCTGCCTAATTTTGAAACCGCAGAGCACGGCTCAATGCGACAATTAACCTATGTGCAAGTCTGGAGGTGTCATTATTTCATCTGCGGGAGCGAGAAACAATTACGACAGCGAGAATATCTCGATATTTTACAAATAGCATTGGCATTACCTCAGTTACAGTATCGTTAATTTTCTTTCAACTATTGAATATTTACAAAAGACTGTTTTAATTGAATTAATTCATTTGGTTGTCAGTTGTCGAATGTTTAAAATTTTACCTCGTACATTTATCATGGAGATTAGTAAAAATTCGCTCACAGTTATTATTTACTCAAAGTGACCTTATCTAACTTATTTATTTATGCTTTATATTACAACAAATCAAATAAAATATCACAAAATTATTTCCTCGTTTAACCACAAAAACCCCACTGCATCCCATCCTTAATACATTTCACCTCGAAAAATGAGAGAAATTTGAGCCTTGCGCATCCTAGTTCAGCATGTACGAAAAATCTATAAAATTAACTGCAGCGTGACGAAAACTACCATCCACTGAATTAAAATGTTACCGTTAGATGTCGAACCAAAAATTAATAAGATTTATCACAAGAAGACTCAATGAAACAGAATCTAATTTTGAAAAAATTTCAAATATTTTTTTTTATACATATTAACAAACACAACTCGTTATTACATCAACATACTGTTACATCCTTCCTTGAAGTAAAAATTTCCCTCTTATAGGAATAAACACTAAGAGGTTCATTCTATTCAAGCTATTAACAGGTTTTCGTTAACCTGAACACACGTGCCGCTTTTTGATGTCAATAATAATTAATAACGGACTAATCATAAACATAGCCGAGGCTACCACGAGAAAACATTGAGAAGATTAATCTCGCCTCCGCCTTTTATCTCTATTATCTGATCTGTCGTCGGCATCAGTGCCTCGTTTACTGGCTTTCTTAGCCTCTGAGAGCAGCCCAATGACACCGAACAAATCCTCCTCTTCCTTGTCGCCTTCACCCGACGCCTGGAACTCCACAGGGCCTGACCTGCTCACGCTGCTGTCCGCCCCTGAGAACCCGCGGTCTGGCACAAATCTGCAAAACCCGGACAATATTTATTTATGCACCGATGTTCATTCTGGTGAGAGCGGGTGAACGTCAAAGTCAAAATTAGCTTAAAAGCTAACAGTACTGTAGAAAAGTTTAACTTGAGTACTTGCACTAACTCTAACATCGACTGGGCTGGCAAATAAACTCGTGATCGATCTAAAACTTTGAAGTTCAATATGGAAATAAAGCTAATTATTCATAATCCATGCTTATGATTTAGACTGTGACACTTTTAAAGAAAAAAATCGCGAAGTGAATAAGCAAAAATTCACTTCACGAAGATTGACAAAGTCTACATATTTCATGTTGATAAGCGCGGACTGCAACTGAATGGCATGATTTTTTCAGAAAAATTTTAATGATTTTTTTTAAATCGTTGCAGTAAATGATGCAGCCTGGACCATCTTTGCATTACAGGAGGTGTACAAGAGCTCTAAGTAACAAGGCCTTACCTTTAATTAGGTAATACCGTACAAAAGTTCAAAATCGGACGGGTGCATAAGAATCTGAGACTATCTGACATAGTTAATCAACGTTGTCCCCACATGCACTACAATAACTTGCTCTATAAAATATGGTTATAAATTATGATGAAGCTCACCGCTTGGTAGACATGAGCTCATCCATGCCACCAAAGGTATCGGCTGCAGAAGCAGAAGGCCTGTAGAGAGCGTTGCCGAGACTGCCTGCTTGTCTCCAGGGCTTGTCGTAAACGCTGTACGCCTCGTCGTCCCCAAAGCCTGAGTCCATTCCTCGAGACTGGTTGAAGAGACGCTGGTCGAATTGAGCCTCCCCACCACCTGAGCAATACGTTTCAAATCAGTAAATCAACCGGAGAAACGTGCGGCATCATGAAATTTGAATATAAGCAACAAGTAAACTTCAACAAGTTTAAACTTGACAAAGACTCGACAAGCAAGTTAAGACTGGACAAAGATATAAAGTTTCAATATTTTTGTCCATAGGTCGTATTCAGCCGTATATAACGTGCTGATGTATTCAGGTCGTCTTAAACTTCTACAAGCAGATAAAATGGTATAACAAAGATTATAAACTATCAAAAAAAGCATCAATTAGAATAATTAATAAGCAAAACAATCAAAATCCGCAACGACTTATGAACAGAGTGGATGATAACATAGCTACATAGAAGGTACTGGATATTATATTTTAACGAAGCCTCACACTTAGAAAATAATAAAATAGTATTCATGCTAATCCAAAACAATGAAAGTAAAGTAAGTTCACAAATCACGTACTGGCAGTTTTCTGTGGCAGTCCGAGGGCGATTTGTTCAGTGATGTCGCGTTCCCGAGCGCCGCCAAGCTTGCGGTCGTTGCCAGACATGGCTGCCTCCCGCTTGCGCTCCCTGGTCATCCGTTAGACGCAATATTAAAAGAAAATAACCTTGTAATTTGACCAATAAGATGGAATATTGGAACAGAATACGCTAATGATCTTGTAATTTGACCAATAAGATGGAATATTGGAACAAAATACGCTAATGATCTTGTAATTTGACCAATAAGGTGAAATATTAGAACAAAATACGCTAATGATCTTGTAATTTGACCAATAAGGTGAAATATTAGAACAAAATACGCTAATGATCTTGTAATTTGACCAATAAGATGAAATATTAGAACAAAATACGCTAATAATCTTGTAATTTACTACGTTGAGTGCGATACGACCCTCCGTTGAGTCGTTCCTAATTTCCATCTGCCGCGAAACGACCCACGGGCGGGTCGTTTATGAAATTTAATGAATTTTCAAAAGAAGACATTTTGTATGACTGCCATTCTTAGTACATTGTGTTGGTAAAAAATATATAGTTTGAAATAATATAAAATGTAATCAATTATTGTAGTTGAATACCAGAAAAATCATATTTCGATTTTTAATTTGAATGTTCAATTGGAACCCAAACACAATAGCACCAACGGGCAGTCGGCAGTTTCAAGAATCACATTCAACGTGTTAAACTGTGCTCATTGAGCGTCTTTACACGCGCGGTGTTTCTTGGGTGTAGAAGTACCAAGAAACAAGGGGCCATACTTAAAAAAAAAATTAAGAGATCGTAAGTTCATCAGCCAATCATTGGCTGCCGCTCGAAAGGCCGTCAATGATTGGCTGATAAACTTAGGATCTCCACCAATCGTAGACAAGAAAATGGAGCGTAGGTACTTACGTTCATTTAGCGAGTTTTGAAAGTATGGCCCCAGGTCACGAAATACTATGGCAAATATGTGCAAACACTGCAAACGGAAAATTTATGGTAGGAAGGAATCCATGAGCAGAACATTCAACACGTGAAGAATAGAGACAGTAAAAACGATTAATTGAGAGAAAAAAATCGTCCTACGATACCAAACATGTTGTGTAATGTTAACATGCCTAATAAGAATATCTGTATATATTATGCCTGAAAGGTAATCTGTATCACGACACATGGACTATTTTAACTTACATATATGTGATAGTTACTGTTAATGGTTGGTAGAAAACCCACTTTAAAGTGAGAGAAATGCATAAAAAATTATGAATGGGAAATATACGCCAAAATTGCAGAAGAGAAGTAATATTAATATTTACAGGAAATGTTTAGTTCACAAATACTTTCTCGTCTGCATGTCAATGAAAAATCAGCAATTTGAGAAAATAGCTAGCCCTAACCAACATTTTAAGGCTGATAATGAAAATTATTTTTTAAGTTAAATCATAAAAATACATCCGAAGCTTCCGCAATGAAAGCAAGAAGCATGCGCGAAGGCGGCGCATCAGCGTGACCGGGGACTAGGAAGTCCCGAACTCATCATAAGGTCAATAACACCGCAGTTCGAGGACACACACCTGGCCCGCTCCGCCCTGAGCCGATCTCGCTCAGCCTCCTCGCCGTCGCCTGAAGGCAGGGGCCGCAGCCCAGATTGCTCCTCGCGCGCCTTCTTGGCCAGCATCTTAAGGGACTCTTCCTTGCGCACCTTCTCCTTCTGCGCCGCCATCTTCTCCAGCTGCGACCTCATCTCTACCTGCAAACCATGTATGAAAATTCGTCAAGTCCTGCTCACATTGAACTTAAGTCTAGACATTTTTGTGACTTTTTCAACAATTGCATGTGGAACCATCATATCAGTGAGACTTAAAAAAAAATTCTCAGTAACAAGAGACTCATAGAAAATATAATTCTAATAGGAATTCAAATGCCGAAATAATTTCAGGAAAGAAGGCATACATCAATTCGATTCCCTGAAGCATTGCATACAAACAATACAGAGAATTCACCGTTTTAATTGAAGAGACTTGCACACTCAACAAACACTTGCGTAGGGCTACCAGCACAAGAATCTCGAAATATTTTTTTGACTCAAAAATGTTTTCAATAAACCTCAAATAATCACAGTTGGAAATCAAAGCCAAATGAAACAAATGGAAAAACTTGTGTAACGGCATTGTTACAACAGTCAAGTACGAGCCTCATCAATACCAAAAAGATCTTTCATTGCAATTGCTCGTTGTACTAAACGCCTTGATTAATCCATTACACTGAGTAATGTAATCATTGTATGAATCCATTGAATATGAATAATCCATTGAGTAATGTAATCATAATCTCTGTCCAATTGAACACGCAGCGGTTTGCTGACCTGTTCGCGAGCTTTTCTGTCAGCGATGTAAAGCGCCTCTGCAAGCTTGGCGAACTTCTCATTGATGTGCACAGACTGCAGGCCGCGGCCGTCAGCGGCGAGACGCTTGTCCAGAGGTAGAGTGTAGCCTTTGGGATTCTTCCAGTTACTCACGGATGGAGGGATGCGCCACTCTTGTTGTTCTTTTACAGTCACCTGCAGCGAAAATATGTTCAAAATATTACTAATTTGACGCAAAAAATATGAGCTTAGGTTTAAACATGGAAATGTAAGGCCTAATTCTTTCAAGATAGCCATTACATGATATTTTGATTGAGAAAGTAATATTATGCTGAAGTTCAGATAAACTTTTGATCTGCGTGAAGCTCAACCTGAATTTTAATTAGCAGACAGAGTTTGTCAAATGACTGAATTTAGTTTAGTGCCTAGATTTGGTACCTAAGATTTAAGAAAAGAAAATCCCACATTAACAACCTTGTTTGAAATTCAATACTATTTGAGCAGCTACAGAAAATGAAAACAAACTAGCACCAAAAACATTCCCAGGCTTCAAGATATCATTTATTCAAGATAAACACTTAAGTGCATAAGATGAGATATTACTTTTCTTGTTGGCGAGTGCATGACAGGTGCCGGTGGAGATGGGGGACCTCGCGGAACCTTTTTGCTGATGCTGTCGTGAAAAATAGTAAATGTTTAGTTATGCTGCAGTGAAATTGATTTATATGCTCAAAAACATACGTCAGTAAAAAAAAATAGTCAAGGTTGAGTGCAAAATATTTAGTATTGCATACTTTGAAATTGAAGTTACTATAAACAACATTCATTTTTCAATTTTTAATTCAATCTAATAGGCACTATTTCATCATTATCAGAATGAATCATAAATAACCAGTGTTAAAAATTTCTTCAATGTTAATTTTTAAATGTAAAAATTCATTTACCATTAATAATTTTATCACAAATTATTCATGTTCAAAGACTTGCTTGAATTTTGGAGGCTCCATTGGGTCTTTCTGCATCTCAACCATTCTGATGACGCGCTGCTGCGCTCCCGAGTTGAAGGCAGAGCCCTGCTGCCCTGGCGTGTATCTGATGTACTGTGCAGGCGCCTGCTTCTCAGCACATCTGCCTCATGATATGGCCATCATTAATGTGACACAACCAGAACATAATAAACAAGATCAAAAACATCACAAAGCAATGGAAATTAGTATGACAAAGGCAACTTTTCACTAATTCTAGAATGGAGAAAAGGTAAAAAAAATTAAAGGCACCAATTCAAGCTAAGGCAAAATTTTGATGTTTGAACTTTTTAGAAAATTCAATGTTATTGCTATAAAATTACACTGCAGTTACAATTGTACATCAAGGGTACAGTTTTGGTATCAATAGCCTTGTTCAGTGATGGCATTACCTGACAGGCATAGCAGCTGCAATTTTTCCTTGAGTGAGCTTCTCTAGCGCTAGTCTGGTCTTCTCTGTGATGTCATCAATGGTGTCCTGCTCAGGCTTCTGAATTTCAGGATCATCTTCGCTTGTCACAGCTGATGGCAGCAGATCTGTCAGCTTGCTGTATATTATCTGTTCCAACAATAAGAAGAAAGTAAATCATCTGATGAGAAAGAATTTTTACAGCTAATTTTTTGCTAATTTCTGTAAAATCAGGATTTAAAATTATGGCTTTAACAAAAACTGTCGCTACTGAAGAGATCCAGAAATAGTACTAAATTATTTTAATACTTTTGTGTCCATGGCAGGAAAAAATTCAATGTTTATCAATATATTAATTAATATTATTAATATTTATTGATACATTTATAATAATAAATTAAATTAATCACTACAAATTTCATATTTTGTACACTCTGGGCCCATGAGTAAGTCGTGGAAAAAAGTTTCCATGCTTACCTTGTCTTTAGCGTGTCCTTGTCGAGCCAGCAAGTCATACTTGACTTTTCCCTGAGAGTCGAGCTGTACTGCAAGAGCTGTGCTCGTCTTCCCTCCTTCATTGTCATCTTTCTTACCCATGTTGAGAGGGTATTGAGCTACAGGGCACTCTGGATACGCACCTCCATCACCAAAGTCCTGGACAAAACATGAATACCGGTATATTAGATATATCTCAGGTAGTATATCTGAATAATCTGTCCAATGGGCACATAAGATCCCATTTATATGACAACAGATGACTAAATAATTATATCCACAAACATTTGGAGTGAACATTGTAAACTTAAGCCTTATAATGTGATTTTACAAAGGATTTAAATGTTTTTGCAAATTTACCCAAGTTTAAATTTAGTTTAAGTAAGAAATTGGTTAGTACCTCTTGAACCCGAGGAACCCATCCCTTTCTATGTAAATATGGAGGAGCAGACCGGGCTGTTGAGACGAGCGCCATTTGCTGCAGTTGGCGCTGGAGTCGTCTTCTGTCATCCTCAGCTTCCCGGTCCCACACATGGCCACTCACAGGTGGCAAGATACTGTTATACAAATTTAGATTAATATTTATTTAAAACCTATAATATACATTTTCTAGGTTGTAATTCCCATTAAAATATTCCATCAAAGTTAAGAATTAGGAAAAACAATTGACCATTGGTACAAGCAATATTAAGTAAAACAAAAAAATCAATTACAAGGAATGCTTCCATTTAAAATTATTTAAATATTTTGACATCATTGCTAAAGTATGGAGCAAATAAGATTAGATATTTTTAGATGATATCAGTTCTTTTTCTTCCTGCATATAGAATTATGGCTGAAAATGTATTATGGCATCCCAAAAATTTTTTTTTGCAGTTTCCTAATATTTTCTTCAAACTGAACTGAAAATATAGGTATATAGGACAATAAGCAATATATTTATATGCTTCTTAATTGGATACCTAATCATCATAACTTCCTCCAAAAACCTACATCTTCCTGACCAGGCTGTAACTCTAGGTTCACGCATAAAGTTTCTGTCATTTTAGGGCAGATACGTGCCTCTTTCCAGCTGTGATTGGTTGAGGCGTCATCCTCTCCAGACTGTGATTGGTTGTGTGATGGCCTTTCCAATATGCTATGTCTTAAAGTTAATTTAATACTCCTCTAAATTCCACACTGTAAAAAATCCTGACTCCTGATGATGGTAGGGCTTAAGCCTACAGAGCAGCATGGAATTCTTATCAGGTAATATATTCTCATGTTTATGTAACAAAATGAATCGGAATGCCTACCACGTTACACCTCCCACCGCTATGTCATGGTTTACACTGAGCTTGTGAGAGGCTGCCACTATTCTGATGTTGCAATATTTACTGACTGCATGTGGATCTCAGTGATGCCATTCTAGATTATCTTCACCACCTATTATCAATGCCCTGGGATAGAAATAATTACAGATTTTTACACTACATCATTTTCAATTAAAACGAAAAAATTTTTCAGGCAACTGAAACACTGAAGTGTTGTTAATTCCGTGAGTTATGAATAGTTTGGTTGACTAAAAATGTTTTTCAATTGAAAACAATGTAATGTAAAAATTTGTAGTTATCGCAGTGCATTGATAATATCTACTTATATTCCAAATTTTGAGCTGATCCCTTCAGTATTTCAGTATAATGTATTTATGCCAGTGCATTAAGTCAACATGCACATTGCATGCATGTCCTACAAATTGTGAATACATATATAAATTTACATATATTCTGAATGATATCCACTGGGCACTGACCACTGTTGATTATCATTTCTCCATCCAGTGACCAGTGCATAGTCCCCTAAAAATAGAATGACTACACAATCACTACAGTCTATGGCCAATACAAATACCGAAAAATGGGGCTACTTTGACCAGCAGGGTAACTTTGACCACTTTTGTTTTTTTTAACAAAAACCCTCAAAACTCAAAAACGGTTTGACATAGAAAAATTTTGTCAATGGCCATCAAAGGCCTAATACTGAGGCTATGTAACACAATAGAAAGATTTAAAAAGTTTGCATATCTAATAGGTTAGAAAATTAATAATGTGACCCACAAAAAAGAGCTATTATTAAAAGCCTGTTGGAGTACCCCCTCCAATTTTTTTATTTTTTGGTTAAATAACTCCAGGTTTTGATGCATTGTAGAAGAACTCTTCTAGTTACATATGCTAAAGACAAATTTTAGGAAAGTGTCATAGTTTGCAAATCGGTAGTGCCACCCCCAAATGGGAGAACTTAGACCACCTAATGTCAGCTCTGATGGGGTAACATAGACCGGCTTGGAAGTTAATATAAAATTACCATATATAACATATTTTATGTTTGACAGCCTATTTATGTTTTTTCTTTATTTTTCAGACTCTACAGAGTCTTATATATGGTAATTTTAACTTAATTTCCAAGCCAGTCAATTTTACCCCGTCAGGGCTGCCATTAGGTAGTCACATTTCCCCCATTATGGGGCAGTGCCCCCCCATTTGCAAACTATGACACTTTCCTCAAGTTTGTCATTTGCATATGTAACTAGAAGAGTTATACTACAATGCACCAAAACCTGGAGTTATTTGGAGTTATTTTACCCAAAAATATAATTGATTTTACCATCCGGTCTAAGATACCCCATGAGCTGGGGTAACAAAGACCATCACTTTTTTTTAAATTACATAAAGACTATGAGAGGCAGGAGCCAGCAATTTATGGTGAGTAAAGCTAGAGTATAGACCTGTATTTTGCATGTTTCAATTCAAGTTTAATTTAGCTATTAAAAAAAATGGCATCATTTATAAAAAAAAGTGGTCTAAGTTACCCCATTTTACGGTATATATTCTGGGAAATTTGAAGCTCCCTATTTTAACCAGGACGTCTCGTCTGAACTTGGTATCATCTCAGAATTCTTACAAAGTTACGAAGGCCTGAAAATTGTCCTGGTTTTTATTGCAAACCAGGACAGAGCCTGTTGTCTCATCTTGTCTTAGGATTAGAATTTTCCTACTTGTTTCTGAAATCTTGCGGCTCCAATTTGAACATTTTTTAACACAATTGGAATCTTGCTGCCCAATGATGCACTTTTGTTATTAATTAGATAGGAGGTAATTCATCTGGCAGAAATCTTGCAGTTCCTGAAATTGCAGGAAACTTCTGGTTGCGGCCTTAAAATTAAATGTAGATGTTTTTCAGGCTTGTCTTGTCTTGGATAGAAAAAATACCAAACACAGGAGTCTAGTGGCAGCTTGCAGAGACTTGTCAGTGATGATGATGGACTGAAAGTGGAAGCAACTGGAGCCTGCGGAGGCTAGTATGGAATATATCTACTTGGCGAGCCGCGACTGAATTTTTTGAGCCGTGGTTTTATGGATTTGCCAGCCGTGATTCCATTTCTTATTTTTTAATCGAACAAAAATTTATGACATTCGAGCCGCGAGATTTCATACCTACTGAAATTATATGATATTAGAGCCGCAATATTTCAGACAAAAATAGGACTTTTCCAGACTAGTGCGGAGGTATGCTGGCCTTTCCAGATTTTAACGTCATGCTTGCCATTTTGCTATGTTTACCAGTTAAAAACGGTATATTGCCCCTCTGGAATTCCACACTGAATTTAATAATTTTAATTTAATTTCAGTTGCACCCATTTTCCCTACCCACCTCTAGTCGAATTTTTAACCAAAATGTTGTATTCTAGTTAGAATAGATAGCCTAGCTATAACATGAACTTTCTAATGGTGCATGAATCTTTGAAATTGGCTCATAGGAAGCCTAGAACTGATAGTTTTTCCACAAAAAGTGTTAGAAGTTGGTCCATTTTGGGGGTGAAATTAAAAAGAGGAAACGTTAATGGCTTTTTCACTTTTTGACCTACTCTATTCAATATTCATACTTATATGATATCTTTCTAATTTTTTCTTTTTTGAGTGGTATAATTTTCATTAGGATCACAGAAAAAAAAATTATTTTGTGCACATACTAGCCTAGGGCTAGGTAGCCCTAGGCTACCTACTACCTAGCATTCCAGCAATAGCAAATGATTGATGCAACTAAAACTAAAGAGCATGATAATATTTATGGAAGATGGATGCAACATAAAATACTCACTCTTGTAAAGAAATCATCTTGCTTAATATTGCAAGAAACTGGAATTTCTTCTGAGAAGAAGACTGTATCTGAGAAGTCAAAAAATTGATGGCAAACACTAAATCACCAGCGTAAATGCACGATGGCCGATTGACGAGTGTCGAGATTATTTTGAATCAGGTATCTGTGCTGACTTCCTTTTCCTAGGTCGCTGTGAAGGGCATGCTGCGGAATGATCAGTCTCACTTGGATCACAATATATAGTCTCCATTGCAATAATAATATTTATATAGCAAGCAATTAGAAGTATTTCGCTATACGGCCAGCGTTTTCAAAAATTATATTTCAAAATTTCCAGCGTTATATTCCATCAATGAAGAAATATATTCCAGTTTGTATCATAAGCGGGGATAAAATACAATTCTATCGTATTCTAACATGACAAGATATTACGCTTCTCATGACGAGCATTCCTATAAGCACGTCAGGCCGTAAATTTGTCCGAGATGTCGCTTAAAAGCAAGATATTATTTATTAGGTGAAACATCTAATTTTAAATGTCTTTTATCCATGGTCCTACGTGATGAATATGACTCGTTTCACGATTCTCGAAGCTATTACGATATGATAAAAAGATTGTCAACATACATTTTTAAAAATGTTCTTTACCACAACATACACTTCTTGGCAACACACGCCTTTAACGTTTTTCAAGAAGCCCTTTGTGGCTGCGGAGCACGATGTTAGCTTAGCAATAGGTTTATATTCTGTGGTTTAAAGTCAGTGTGGTTCACGTTCTCGTACGGTGTGGTTACCCAAGCGTTCTCGGATACTTCCACACGTGTGCCGTCAGTAGGCTATCCTATACTCGCACGCACAGTAACTCACTATAGCGTTTTTTTTAACTGCGTTTAACTCGCCTGCCTATATTCTATAATGATTATGATAAAATGGTATTGAAGTTCATACACAATACAAGTTTGGTCCAATGGTTAGGATACATTTCAGCAGACTCAGCCAGGCCGCCCAGCCCCCTTAGTGCGGGCCCCTACCCGCACTAAGAACTTAGGAACAGATGAAGATGTGCCAGGTGCGCGGGAATGTTTATTGTCATTTAATCAATTTGCGCCGTGCCCCGTAATATGCCGGTAAAAAAGTGCGCCGTGCTCCTAAAGTTGTTTAAAGATGAATGCGCGGCAAACGCTATCACACACAACACAAACGAATACCTAGGCTTTTAACGGCCGCTAGTCTGGAAAAGTCCTATTTTTGTCTGAAATATCGCGGCTCTAATATCATATAATTTCAGTAGGTATGAAATCTCGCGGCTCGAATGTCATAAATTTTTGTTTGATTAAAAAATCGCGGTTTGCACTTCGCAAACATGTCATTTCATAAAANTAGTTTAATTTTCTATCAAGGGTAAATGCACCATATTCTGACATTGTGGGTAATTCTGACACTTTTCAACTTTTTCCTTTATATTAAGCTTTGTCTTAGTTCCACCTTCCACACATGTGTAGATGGTATCATGGTTGAAATAGTGACATCATACTATTGCGCGAATTATTCCCGCAAAACACTAGGTCTGGTGGGAAAATGTTAAGATGCGCAGACTCCGCAGAGCAAAACTCCACGTCACCTAGTGAGAACATTGAAACACGAGTGAAAGTTGACAGTTGACCTTGCTCTACCAAATAGTAATAAACTGTTTGTGTAGAAAGAATATTATGGTTTGAGACTTTTAAATATGTCTGTGAATATATTAGGAATCCTTTAAGTATACTTGTATTTGCTGATTTCAAGTGGTAAATAAATTAATAGATGATTAAGTTGAGAAATGGATTTAGACACATAAAAACTAATTCCGACACAACTTGAATTGGACACACAGCTCGTTCCAAGCTGTGTGCAAAAATTAAAATTTTCTTAATTAAAAGTTTAATAACTGTTGATTAAAAGCCTAATTAAGTAGTGCTCAATATTCAATAGTGTTCTAATTCAAAGCCATGTTGTATTCCAATACAGCTCACACAGCGATCGGAACTCGAACACGTGGATGTCGGAATTACGTATTAGTACAATTTGAAGCGCGGTCGTAATACGTCTCACCACGTGCCGAATATAGTCACACACAGTGTCGGAATATAGAGATTTGGTAGGTTTGCATTCTAAAGGCTTTTAAATAAATATGGCAACATTTTGTGATGTTTCATCGTTGCTGGTGCGTCGTGCGGTGTTTTGAGAGTCATGTAAAGCAAACAGAACTCAAGCAACACATATGATTTTTTTTATAGTTTTTCATTTCTCAATGCATCCTTAATGTATTGGAATATACCGCGTTTACCCTATGATAAAACTGGTATCCATGATACTTTACTGGTCTACTTATAGGACTCAAAAGTGAACTTGAGGGAGAGTCTAAAAAAACTCTGCTTTGCCACTTTAGGCTATCTGCATCAAGTTGACTAGATTTTTTATGTGTTAACTCAGGTTCTAAGAGTCAGCACAGTTATGAATATTTATTCATTATTCATAGATCACGATTTGGTTGGAAATAAATTACAAAACTGAATAGTAGAAGGCAACAATCCACATGGCTGGATTGGTGCCTTCAGACAGCAGTCTTCTAATAAAGGACTGATTTTGGTAAATGGTACAAACCCGTATGTCAATGTCGGGAATACGTTACGTTCCCAACATCCTCCCGGCTGGTGGACTCATGGAATGGGTTTGTGCGGTGCAAGCCCATTGAATACAGAAATACAGGCACCGCAATTTTTTTTGTTATCAGTTTTCATTTTTTTGCAACTTTGATGGTTAATTATATAGACAAACATTAAACATTAATAAAATATGAATGGCTTCAACCTTCAAGAGACACATAACATGACTCATGACACATGATGTATCAGCATTGCGTAAAAGTCTGTAAAGATGATGTTGCCATACCATTACGTTTGGAATTTCTGATGATAGTATGTTTAGACATATTTTATTTACAAAAGATTTTGCACTCAAAACTATTTTACATTCATTAGAATGATGAAATTATTTTTGGCTCCTTTCATTAACCGTAGAACCTTTGATAACCCCTATCAACACACTAATAGTATATAATATTGAACAAGCAAAATCTGTCATTTAACACTAATTTTTGTTTACTTCATTTGCCCAATTTCTGAAGACTTGGTTCTTCACCGCTTGCCTCGCGTCTGGACGGTCTATGGAAGGCAAAACAAATGATGTTCCCATAAGAAACTTGTAGAAAATTTCTTCTAAAATAAATTTCTAGATTTTTACTTTCACAAAATTTCCATATCAAGGAAAATACTAGATTGCTGATGGATAATTAAATGCATATTGAGTATTATAAGTTTTTTGTCTCTTGTTCCTTGACAAAATGTATCTGCATGCTGCGCATATGCTTGCATGTGTGAGCGGAGATGGCCAGAAGTTGCGCCAACTGTGCATAAGTCATAATGCGCGGGAAAATTCCCTGAAAACATACATCATCCTGAGTGTGCCCTATCAGGATTGGAGCAGAGAGGTGCTGGTTCGATCCCAGCTCTATGTGCCAGTTTCTGGTCAGAATTGGGAAGGAGCCCAGGCCAGGGCGCAGACGGTGCAAGCAGCTTTGCCAAAATATGGATTTTTAGCTCAAAGCTTTGCCTGCCATTTTCAAGATGCATTGCCAGGTAATTTTTAATAATAAAATGCTGCTAACAACTTTGATAGTATATCCCTTGCTCTCCATGCACTTCAGCACTTATAGTTACACTCATGACTCATCACAACTGATTTCTGGGCAAGCTTCACTGCATCCTGATCCAATCTTACTGTGTGAGCTTGCTGTCTTTCAGATTTACAACAATCTCAAAGTAATTTCTAAAATGTAATAATTTCTATCCTATTATGTTGGCAAGATCTTCTGAAGGCATAAATTTTGCTTCTGATGCATCGTCAAAGATCTTTCAATAACGATAACCATCCTTTTCGCTATGCTCAAATGCTATTTACACAAGTGTGAAAACAACTTGAAAAACTTACTATATATGTAGACATAAGGTAGATTTTGTATTCAATGGGTTGGATTGACATCACTCATAAATTGCTTCAAACGATTGAAAAAGGCTTTGTTTCAAATTGAAACAGGCGGAGTAATCTTTCAAATTTTGTATCATTTCCACGTAGCCTTTACTTTATGCCTAGAAAAGGAACAATCTTGAATTATTAGTCTTCAGCACAGTGGCAACTGCAGAGAGTTTTTTAGACTCTTCCTCCCATTTAGTTTTGAGTCCTGTAACTGTGAGTAAATCAACAAAGTATCATCATCATGGTTATTCATGGATACCAGCATTATCATATATAAGATATTGCTTTAAATCTTAAGGTGACCATTTCAGGCAAAAATAAAAAATTATGGCTTCTCGGCTTTCTTGGCTTATTTTGTAGCTGCTGGAAAGGTGTGTCTAATGCAGCAAACCGCATGTCTGCCCATGCTATAGTTTTTGCATAGAGAAATTTCAAAACATTAAAAAATAAACATTTTTTAACAATCTGTACAAATATTTATTTAAATTAAATCTGTATTTATAGATCACTATTCTTGTTAATTGCCAAGTGTTTGCACTCGTTTGTAAGCTACAAACAAGATGTGTTCAACAATGCTACCACCATGCAGGATTGGAATTTTCCTTCTTGTTTCTAAATGCAGCTCCAACGTGACCAATTTTTAATGCATCTGGAATCTCGCGGCCTGATCTTGCAATATTGTTAACAATTAGATAGGAAGTAATTCATCTGGCAGAAATCTCACAGTTCTGGAAATGGTGGGAAAGTGGGAAAGCTTTAGTCATGCCCTAAAGGAAGATTTTTTTTTTTTTGCTTACTACCATGGATGTACATGAAATAATTTTTGCATAATACTGTTTTAAACCTATAAATTGATAACTTTATATTTATAAGTATAAAAAGTCCCATTTATAGCTTGGTATTCACATTAAACTGGACAAGAATAAGTCTAATTTGTTGGTACCCTAAATGCAAATAATTGGCAATGGGAAAGCTTGGGCCCATTCTTATAAAATTAATTGCCCCATTCTTATAAAATTAAATAATATTTAGGATTTCAGAGATTTATTTGTCAATGAATTGAATAACATCTCAATTTGGTTAAAACAAGATTTTTTCATTTACCATTTCAGGAACAATCCTCTTGGGGGATTGTTTCTGAGCGCCCCACTGCTGAGCTTGCGGGATCTGACTGCAGGTCTTGGTTGTGGGGATGCGTTTTTATGTAGGTAAGATTCCTTACATTTCCCTTCTCTGTCTCTCTTGTGCGGGCAACCGACGTCCCGTGTAAGCAACCTCTTGTTGGAGTGTCTTCCTTTCTGTTGCTTTTCACCTGTCCCTCCTTGTCACTTCATCTCTTTGAGATGCTAATGCTGCTTCTTTCAAGCCAGCTTCAGTGGGCTGGACAATTGAGACCTTCCACATCTTGTGGGTGATGATTAATTGATACCTTCCACCTTGCTGGCAATTTTAACTTTTGACCGATGCAAAATAGCTTGATAGTTGGAGCTCTGGTAAACCATTCTACTACTTACTTTCTTGAACATAAAGAGCTCTAATTGCGGGCTTTTTGCATTCTAACATTTTTGCATTTTAACATTTAGCTGGCATAATTTTGATTGTGATTTCACTTCCCACTTCAAACTTATTTCATCACTGCCATAATTAAATTATTGTTCATTAATCACCCATGTTGTTGCTGGCCTTCAGTAGAAGCCGCATTTATTATGAGCAATACTGAACCCAATACTGAAATGTGATTTATTATAGACTTCTACTATTTTAAGTTGTTTTAGTTACCAGTTTTTCAATTGAGTAAGCTCCATCTATACACTGATGCTTGGTTGATACTTACCTATCTTCAATTGAATTGAGCAACTTTCAACTTTCTTATCATGACATAATCAATTTTTCTTGCAGTTCTTTATTGATTAACTTCATTGAAAAAATAAAACAGTGTAAAGGATAAATTTTCTTTCTGATATCCAAGTTTTATAGTTGTTTTTATAAACACAAGATGTATTTCCAATTCAAGGTGAGTATCATTCAAGATATTTCTGCAACTGCTCCTTATGAATTTTTCTCTTGAAAAATTATATTTTTTATTTTTTTCATTGAATTTTTCAAAGGGAAATTTCTCTTGTGAAAATTCTGAGTCATGGAGAAGGGATCAAACTCAGTTGATATTGAGTGTCAAAAGCTGGTATCTATTTATTAGCATTGAGTAATTCCTTACATTTTTCATTTATAATAACCTCAATGTTTTATTTATTCTCCTAAAGGTTTGAGTTCATAATATATCATATATAGTGGGTCAAATATTCTGTATGGATTTTTAGTAATGAATTTTGTAATAATACATGAATTTATTTAAATGTTTGTTTATCCTTAGTTCTAATATGAGTCTTCCAAAAAGTTAAAAGTTTTTCTCACTGAGGCTGTTCCTGATTATGCATATAATTGTATGCTCTGTCTTATAAATAGTTAAAGATTGCTCTGCATCATAGCAAAAATGTGAATAAGTATTAGATTGCTGATAATATATAGACTGAATTCATGTCCTAGATTTTAATGTAATAGCAGATTTCATATTAAGAGTAGAAGAATAGACACTTGTATTAATTCTCTACAATTCATGCCAGGTGTGCCATTACTTGAATTGAAGACAAGCTTAACTAAATTTAAATCAGCCTTGAAAGTAACTTGAATTTTTTTCAGTTTTCCAACCTGCTAGGCACCATATACCGCAAAGGTGACATTATCTTCAGCAAGGATGGCTACTCAGTGTATGTGCCTGTTGGCAATAAAATCACACAGTATGACTTGCGAAATGATCGAGCATCCACCCTTCCCGTTGAAGTTGGTGGAAACTTCACATCATTGGCACTATCTCCAAATGGCCTCATTCTAATTGGAGCAACAGATTGTGAGTTTATATGGTATACATTTAGAATTCAGATGGTTGTTGGTGTTGGATAGTACCTAGTAGAAAAGGTTTACTTAGAACTTCATTGTTTTTTAATTTCTCCTATCTAAAAATTTCCTGAAAACCTTTTATGTCAATTGAAGGCTAAGAAAATTCATACAATATTTTGTTTGAATGTGATGATGCAAAACATAAATGATATTTATACTTAGTAACTGGATTATTAATGTTAGAACTTGTACCATTGTTAAAATTTACTGAATAAATTTCATTATCACTGTGTTACAGTGGGACATCTCCATATGATCAGTGTGATGCGACGTCGCTTACTCTACACCAAAGCTTGCCGTGGACACATCAGAGCTGTGTCCTTCAGTCCTGATGGCAAATACTTGGCTGTGGCTCACTCATCTACTGGTTGGTTTGAATGAATGTACAGTCACTACCAAGTTTTTGTGCAGAACCACTCAACAAGTGGATGCAAATGCACCAAGATTGTATGCATCATTTTTTATTTGTCTATCAAGAGTTAAAACAAATGAATCCTATTTAAATAGGCCACAATAAGGAAATAGCTAGCTTGTTTGTCATTAATGTGGTAATTTATTCTTTAGTATTTTATTCAATAATAAAAATAAATTAGTTGTGTTAACAGCTGTTGCTTCATATTTTATTTATATTTGCGCAGTTCACATGTATCGATGTCATGGAATGGAACGTCAAGTATTTAATCCATTTGAGACTGAAAAAGTTTGTCCTGCTGCAACCAGTGATGTTACCTGCTTAAGCTGGTCTTTTGACTCCAGGTAAACTCACATCATTGACTTAATTACACATTAGGAAACATGTATTAATGCCTAAATTTTTCTTATGCTCAACTGTCCATTATTTGCACTCCAATGTTTGATATTTTATTGTATAATTTTATTTTCTTCTTGTAAGAGATTTTCTTATGTAAGCTTTTTCTGTACTGTGGTAAATTGATTATTTTAATAAAGGAATATATGTGTTGCAGATTGTTGGTATTTGGCAGCAAAGACTCGGTGACGAGAGTGGTGCCTGTAAAGCTCATGGACATAGGACGACAGGTGGTGGAGCTGAGCTCTGGCAGCTACCCTATCAGAGGAGTTCACTTCATTAACAACTCGTATGGAATTTATGTGGTGAGGTCACAAACTGTGTGGATAAATACCGTAGGTTTCAGCTCTAGAAATAAGCTGAGTAGAGATGACTGTACAAATGGATTTTGTATTCAAGTATGAGAATTTTGTATAGAACTTGACAAAATATTGTGTGGATAGTTCATTGAATATTACAGTAATGATGACTAAAGACATGCCTGAACATAAGCTTTTGTTCTTTGACTTTAATTTCACTTAAAAAAATTTTATATATGGCATTCAGAATGGTAAGAAATAAATAAATTGGTTGCAAATGGCCTTCAACAATAGCTGACTGTCATTATGGCAGAGGTTGTATTTATTTTTCTATATTATGATCATGTCATTTATTCACTGAGATTTTAATTGGTGAAATTATCTCAAATAAAAATTCAGTGTTATTCTTATATGATTTATCACTGTACCCCACAAAAAGTGAGTCCTGTTGTGTTATTTCCCTCAATAAAAGTTTGCAATATGTAGTAATACAAAAAGTCAGTGCCATCGGATGAAAAACTTTTAAAATGCTCCATTTTAAAAAAATTTTTACTTTCTATGTGCTGAATCTTGGTTAAGATGTAGCATTTTTGAACAGATCACCAAAAGTGGTAACATTCTTCGCTACAAGTGCAATCTTAATCCTGATGAGCTTCATGAGAAAGTTTTAAAATCAAGAGAAGATGAAAGGAAACGTCTTAAAGAAATGCTACAAGCAGAACACTGCGAGGATTACGAAACTTGGAAGAAAGAACATCCTGTTGAAAATAGTAAGTAAAACTTGCAGGTCTCCTGCATTATAGAGTCACGTGTATTATAGTGATCGTCACGTGCATGCACGAAACAACTACAAGTTTAGAATTCAATTATGAAGCCAAGGTGAAAAATTGTTATGTATGGTTTTATTTCTTGCAGAAATTCCTCCGCATTTTGGGGGATTTTGTACTCAGAAATTTTCCTAGAAGATGCCGAAAAAGACTGAATAATTCCGCTAGCTTAAACTAGCCTGATATGGATGTTTATTTATTGAATCATTTGCAGTTCATATCTCTCTGATTTGCTTCTCAGCAAAGTATTTGAGAAACTTTTTTTTGTGTTACTATGATCATATACAATGCCTCCAAAGCGTGCTTCTTGATCCAAAGCATTGAATTAAAAAGCTTCAAAGTGTAAAACAATCTGTATGTACCCGCAAAATGTATCATAACAACCTCATTGAATGTTTTCTTCAGTATTATTAATACTTTCCCCCAGTGAAAAATTACATTGATTATATATCTATTCTCATTTCCATTTAGGCCGGAATTCAGTAATATTTAATGATTAATTGTCATGTTTACAGCTTGGCTGGACTTCCACTGTGATTACCGGCGTTCTATTGTCACACTCCTGCACCTGGAGGCGCCTCAGGCAGGCTCGGCTCCTGACACGACCTCAGCAGCACTCCTCGCCCTCAGCAATGATGACGAAAATAAGACCGCGCGTCGTGCCACGGCAGGCGTCACGGCGACCTGCTACCACGGCTTGTCTAAGCTGCTGGTGGTTGCCTGCGACACCGGTGACTTTGCTGTCATGGACACCAGCGACGACTGCTCCGTGCTACACTCACTTAATGTCTCCAGCCAAGTGAGCTAATACTTTCTTATGTATTAACTCAATGTGATTAAAAATTGTAAATGTGGAATGAATTTGCAGTTTTCAGTGTATTGAGTGAATCAACTGAGCAAACACTGTCCTTAAGTGTTAACTAAACGGGAACTAAACTTGCAGTATTTAGTGTATTAAATGAATCTCTATTTTATACGAGTACTTACATGACCACGAAAATAATATCTATAAAAAGTGTAACTTATTGTTAAAAATAAACTGTTTGGAATTTCTAGCCATCTTCTGCTTTCAGTTGATATGAGGTAAGCTTGATATATGCTAACTGGGTAGTATAAAATCTTGAACAATGTCATAATATATTCTGATGCATTGTGTATTTCGAGAGGCAATTGCAATTTTCTAAGTAAATTCCTGCTGTAAATTTCGAGTGCGTTTTCGAGACATGTGCCAGCACAGAATAATGGTTATTTTAAGGCATTGAACGACCAGTTAGTCTATTCTTGTTTAGCTGTAAATTCTTTTATGATTATGATGGTATTTTTGTTCAGGTGATCAGCAGCGTGGCGCTGAACCTCACAGCGGACTGGCTGGCCCTCGGTGTAGCAGACGCTGGGCAGCTGCTGGTGTGGGAGCTGCGCAGTGAAACTTATAAACTCAAGCAGCAGGTCAAACTCTGCCCAATATTCTTTTAGTTTCTGCAAAATATTCTTCTAGTTAATACGTTTGAAACAATTCTGCCCACTCTTCCTGATGGAAAAAACTTAGGCTACATACTACACATAGACTTTTTTCACAATTTTAACTTGAGCTGCTTGCTTTTTAAATAATTGTAATAAAGTTGAATTATGTTTATTTACTATTTTAATGTTCCCAATGAATGTTAATAATTTAAGCACAATTTAGATGCGCAATGCAATAGCTGTTTTTTATATTCAAACGCTACCATGTCAAGCTTGTGTGGAGCGCCTTTCTGACTTGTTCCTGACATGCAGGGACATCGCAAGAGCATGAGTGTCGTCGCCTACAGTCCTGATGGCTCTCGTCTTGCTAGCGGAGGAGAAGACTGCATGGTTAGTCTGCACTTCGTGTTGCATTGTGCTTGTTGATGATGCCATATTTATTTCTTGCAAAGTTTGTTAAACTATTTTGTTCACTCGATTCTACCAAAATGCTTATGCTGTGATAACCTAGTATTGAAATTTTTGAGCATTGGTAAATAAGTCTGTCCCATCACCAAATCTTTTATATGTGTTACAAATTTTGATTAAGTAATGTTGTGCAACACAAAAAAACAACTGTGCTTTTAAAATTAATGAAAACGTTGTTCATTAGCAATTGATCATAAACTTTTTTTTTTGTACGACGACTGAAATTATCGCTTCTGACTGCATGAAATTGCCTTCAAAATAACATTTCGGAGCCATTTTATTTTCGTATTTTCAAGGTAACATTTGTTTGCAGGTAAAGTTATGGTGCACCACGTCTTCCTTTTGCTTCGTGACGTTCAGTGAGCACACCGCCCCCATCACTGGTATCGCCTTCACACAGTCTGGTGCAGCTGTGCTGTCCTCCTCAGAAGATGGTTCGTTTGTCACTCTTTAATATCCAGGCTTATTATTACGATTGACTCAATTTAATAAGTTCGTATTCAAGTATAAATTCAAAATGAATAATTTATACACAAATGGCAAGAGAAAGATTCAAAGTTTTTTTACATTATGTAAATTTTCAAGATGTCTATCTTGTGCTGCTCGGCAAACATCTAAACGGTAGCCAAACTCGTCCCACACACGAGAAAGCATATCTTCTGTTACTGAGTGCACCGTAGCAGTGATAGCACGGTTCTTGGCAAGAAGTGTAAAGCCTGGTCTTCATTTCCTATGCGCCATACCCAACGCTCATAACATATTGAACATTTATAAATAAGGTGGTACAAAGATACATATTGAACATTTATAAATATGTAAAACGAATTTAGAACCTTTCTCTTTCCATTGGTGCATAAATTATTCATTTTGAATGGTAGAAATTTAATAAATTAGGTCCATCATTTAGAATAATCTTGTATCATTGAGTAATCGAGGTGTGTGATATGCCAATAGTTTCCATTGTACCAATTAGTTACTTCCATAGAACTTTCGATTTTTAACTAGCTGCACTGAAATGCGACTGATCTTTCTATTGTTATAAGGTGGAGCCATAGTGCCTGATAGAAGTGCTTGAGCGCCCTAACGCATCCTTGACGACAGTAAAGCTATTTTCGTGACGTCTTGACTCTTGATTCAGTTTCTAATTCCTCATCAGTAATGTAATGTAGATTACATCAGTAATGTAATCTACAAAATTTCCCGAATTTATTTATTTGCTATTTAGATTTTGAGTCGAGTCCTGGCATTAGGACTTTCTGCAAGGTTAGAATTGTTCGTAACTGTGTTGTATAATAGACTTAATAATGAGGCTTCATAAGTCATTTCTATGTTTATTTGAAATATCAAGGCGCGGTGCTGCAGGCATTTGGATGTCAAGCAAGATTTAACTTGCTGTCATCTGTGTCTTACGATACATTGGATAATGAGGTCTTAGAAGGGATTTCTATGTTTATTTGCAATGTTCAGGCACGGTGCGGGCGTTTGATCTGACGAGATATCGAAACTTCAAGACGCTCACGTCACCGAGAGCAACGCAGTTCACGTGCCTTGCTGTCGACTCGTCTGGTGAACTCGTGGCGGCTGGTGGCAAAGACTCTCATCAGATCTACATCTGGTCATTAAAACTGGGATCCTTGCTGGAGGTAATTAATCGCTTTGTTAGACATGATCCTTTAATTTTATGCAATTTTAACTTAGACTGTACAATTGATTTGTGTGTGAGAATTTTGCTCATCTGTGACTAGTGTTCATGCGAGGTAGAATCCACGATTACTGATAGTTATTTAGTGTGATCAATACTTGCTCCGTCAGTATTGATTGCTACGAGGGGCAAAATTTTAAATTTGTAAATTGAAGTATAAATTCATGATACATTTTGGCATATGAAACCCAACTTGGTATCTACTACCCACTGATTTAGACGGTATGTAAACAACAAGGAAACCCTTAAAGCTTCTCAAGTGAAGTAGTTAGTGAGTTTTGCTAACTAAGGCCTTCGCAATAAAATGAAACTCTGTTGTTCAGGTGCTGAGTGGCCATAAAGGCCCCGTGACGAGCGTCTGCTTCTCAGCGGTGACAGGGAGCAGCTTCCTGGCGTCGACGGCGCTCGACGGCTCCCTCAAGCTCTGGGACAGCATCAACACCTCCTCGGCCAGGGAGACCATCGACCTCCATTCTGATGGTCAGACGCTCGACCAAACCACCTTCACACTCTAACATTAGTACCTTCATTGAACCTTAGATTTTCTCTGGGTATTAAGTGGGCATACCGCACAATATATTTTCACTAAGCTTCTGATTTCCTCTAGATATTAGCATGGTTCAGCACCCACTAGTGGCTTTACTGAACCTCTGAATTCTTTTGGATATTTGGCGGACTCAACACTCACTAGTTTCATCACTGAACTCCTGAACTTTAGTTGGATAATTCGCAGTCCCAACATTCTCGTGTTTTGTTTTGCTCATCTTGTCTCTTTGGTTTCAATAGTTGGGTGCAAAAGTGTCTGGTTTCCATGTTTCTTTAATCATGGCACAAGAACCGCATTAAACATCCGTCAGCACAAAAATAAGTCCTTCTCCTTAGCGGTTACATCTATTGCTTTTTTATCCACTATGAACGATGCTGTTCAGTTAGCAGCTGAATTAAAAAAAAAATATGTTTTTCTATGTTCTTTCTCTTAAATCCTCGTTCACTGCAACTGCCTGAGAATAGAAAAAAAATCGATCTACGCTGTACGCGTATATTATTTTAACAATATTGCCTGTCCTGTTTGCATTTTTCAGTTGGTTTACTTGCCTAACAAAAAGTAAACATTGCGTATTAAAGTTTATTATGTGTTGGCCAGGAGTGTGCGTGCAGCTACGTCCAGACGGGGAGCAGGTGTGCGTGAGCACCATGGACGGCCAGCTGAACATGTTCAACACGAACACCGCCGCGCACGAGGGCTGCATCGAGGGTCGCCGGGACCTGGGTCTCGCCAGGAAAGACCATGACAAGATCACAGCCGAGAAGACGCAGCTTGCAAAGTGGGCTTTGCTGGCTTTTGAATCTGGCAGATGATACTGATGTGTTTCTTCACTTGATGACATTTACTCGTGGAACTTAGATTATTCAGTTGGTTGTCAGTGTCTTTTTGGCAGGTTTTACCCAAGTGTTGGTTGTAATAATACAAAAGTTTATATTTGACCACATAGGTCACATTTCAAAGTGTGTGCTACAGCCATGGTTCTCAAATATCAACAAGATTATTGTTTCTGGACTACTATTTTACGTTTTAACTGTTTTGGACCTTTGCTTGCAGGTATTTTCGCGTATTTTGTTATTCTAGTGACGGTCTTCAGCTCATAGCTGGAGGTGAGAGCAAATTCGTGTGTGTGTACAGCGCCGCTCAGCAGCTCCTTCTCAAGAAGTTCAGAATCACAAAGAATCGCACCTTTGATGGAGCTCTGGTGAGTTTAAATTTGATAATTGTGAGCAATTCAGTCATTGATTTTATCTAATGTAAATAAACTTGCCGATCAGCTACCGCTTTATCATTTAAAGCTGCATTTTTGTTATCAGGGGGTGTACGACAGATTTAGCACAGCTTACAACGGCATCAACTTGCGCACCGTGGAGCGCCGGCCAGACCGCTCAGAGGTGACTGCTGATCGCGGCATCAAGCTGCCCGGCGTTGCCAAGGGCGACAAGTCCCTCAGGGCCTTCAGAGCTGAGGTCCTCGTCACTGGACTTGCCTTCGCACCCACTGGTTTGTTCTACTCAGCATGTAACAAGCACTCGAGTTGAAGAATCGAGTTGTGTTAAAGTTCAGCTTGATTTCTCTCACGGATAGAAACGTTCTGTGGATATAAACAATAGTAATACACTTTCGCATTTATCCCATATTATTTTCGGCTGAGGGTGAAAATGGCATGAAAAACCTAGCTTTTTCTGTTTTGTTAATAAAGATGTGCTTTTCTTGTTCGGCTGTTACAGTATCTTGAAAGGAACATTTTTTCAGGTACCGTGATATCCATTGCATCCAGTACGTGGCGGTCTTATTAATTGTTCTCAAATGTACTCGAATGCAAGAGATTTGAACCATTATGCCCGTTGGGTTTCTTCCGATTTGTTGAAGTTTGCTTTTGTTTTCCAGGTCGTAGTTTTGTGGTGTGTTGCACAGAGGGGCTCCTCATATACTCGCAGGACACAGACTGGCTCTTTGACCCCGTCAGTCTAGACGTGGACAACACACCTACCGCTGTCAGAAGGAAACTGCAGCGTCAGGAGTGGGGCATGGGTGAGTGCTTCATCCATCTCTATCACTTACAAATCAGTCTTTTCATGTTTTAACGCATTAACTGCCTTGCATGTAGCGGTAAAAATTTTCTTTATAAGATTTACGATTAAATCGCGCTATAGGTTTTTACGCAAATTGCTCATCAAGAGCAGAGGTTCAAAAAATCATTTTAAGACTTCTAGGTGTTGTTTATGGATTGACTCCAGGCTTATGGGTAAATTGCTTATCACTTTACTTAACATAAATATTTATTTTTCAAGAGGCCACAAATTATATTTTTTCCTAGTATCATTTCTTAAATATCAATGAATTTTTTTCACAGCGCTGATGATGGCCATCAAGCTGAACATCAGCTCAATAAAGCAAGAGGTGCTCGAGTCCATCCCTGTTGATGCAAGTGAGTGAGACAGCCTTCATAGTGAAATATCTTCTTTTTTATAGCATAGCAATCCGGTATGCTATTATCAAGTAGACTATTCGATAACTTGTGATCTTGCACGGACTTCTGTAACCTCCTCAGGAGTTATGGTTAAATTTTTAACTTTTTTCAGTAAATTTTTTCCAAATTTTTGCAGCTGCTCACAAGGTACAGCTAAACTGTTGGTATCTTCGCGGCCTTCAAATAACACTAAATTAGTTTTGAACTTGAATGTTCATTTGTTCGTGCCTTTTCATTTTATATGCAAGCCTTCACTGTATCGACGTTTTCTATATTGAATATCAGAGATTCATTGTTCCAGCGATTAGTGCGCTTGTCAGTTTTGTCCACTTTGAACTTGTGTCCAATAAAATGCATTGTGTTAATTATTTATGCATATCTGGTGGCTATCACACGAAATTGTGCTCATCGGTTTCCGTGTTTCCAACTCACCCAGTGAACGTGGTGTTGACGGGCCTAGCTCCACTATACGTAGAAGGTCTCCTCCTGTACCTCGCCCAGGGTCTGGAGAGCACCAGGCATGTGGGGCTGTACGCGCGGTGGACGCGACAGGTGCTCTATCTTCACGGCCGCTCTCTTAAGCCAAGAGCCCCGCAGCTCATGTCTGCCATCAACGCTCTGCAGAGAGCCCTCAACTACCACCACACTTCCCTCAGTAAACTGTGAGTATCATAACTTAATGTTGGGAAACTTCAAGTCATGACAGAGCGCAGGCAAGCTTGCCCAATAAGACTTATCCTTATTATTATTAGTCAAGTGCAGTTTGGTCGGGAGACCGACATTCTTGCCAATCAGATAGCCTGACTTTGTCAGCTGTCCTTGCGTCTCTATGTCGCCTCATTTTCTCCTATATTTTATGACCATTTTTGTGCTTGTTTGCAGGTGCGCGGCTAACGAGTACACATTATCGTACTTGAGACAACAAGGAGCCGTCCTCGAGCACAGAAGTCGCCAGAACGCATGTAAACAGGAGGAAAAACCGCCGAATAGCGTGAGCGATGAAACTGAGGAACCGATGGACGAAGACCCCAGTGAAGAAGAAGGCAGTGAATCTCTATCTGAAGATGATCAGTTGCTCTCCGAATTCGAGTCTGATTCTAGCTCTGAGATCGCTGAAATCGTGGAGTAAAAGAATTCTCATGTTAGGTCGTTTCAGTTTCCTCAAAATATCCTGATTTGCATCAATGATGTGCCCTCTACTTTTTTGTACATTTTGTGGATGGGCTCGTGTTATCATATGACAGTCGTTATTTTAATTTATGACGTGATGCCGCAGGAAGCACTGAGCTGTTCTCATCTGCTCGGTGTTCAGGGACCTAACAAGCCCTCGGCTGCGCTCCGATCTGTTGTGTAACATTAATAAGTAATCTACTGGAGAACTGCCCATTCTTGGCGTGGATAAACTGCGATGAATTAATTAGTAGTGTAACAAAAATGAACACGAATATTAGTCCTGGGTTAGAGTTTTGCCAACGAGTCTGCACTCTTACTCGAATAGAAAATGAATCTGATTTAATTCTTGCTGATAATAATTTTACCTAATATCTGTAGGTAAATAATATTGCTCCACGGTGCCCTCGCTACTTTCCGTTTCTCTTGGATTAAATTTCATCTCCTGCTTTTAGAAAGAAATCCTTGTAGCCTGCGCGAGGTACTATGCAGCTAGTCATTTTTGGAATACGCCATACTTTGAAAATTTTTTTTGTTACAGGTAAATATTCTGTGCTTTTTCTTGTGGTTTGAACAGTAAGATACTTGAACAATGAATCGCCGTCAAACCCCCAATGAGTTCCTGCAGCAAATCATCGGTCGCCCTGTAGTGGTGAAGTTGAACTCCGGCGTAGATTACAGAGGTACGCAGCAGTACTTCTTCACTGGGAACAAATTTGAAATAGTACTCATCAGTTTTTACAGATTTTATTTCTAGCCTCAAATGAATCGTATGAATCAAATTGCCACCTCGATGGCTGTAGTACTGCTACTGTAAAGCGAAAGCCACTTTTTCCCTTACTTAACCCTCTACCGCCTGCCATGAGTAACCTGAGCAATATTGTCACAAGCCTACTCTCCGAAAGAAGACGTCCTAGTGAGCGCAAAATGACTTGCACTAATAGTTGCCGCAACATACAACTTTAAAATGTTCTCTGTTGCGTACAAACGTCCTCAGGTTGCTACACTCAATAGTTATCGTATAATTTTAATTGAAAGTTATGTTTACGGAGAGTGACATGCGGCGGTAGAGGGTTAAAAGCCTTTGAATTAGTCTTGTGAACATTGATTGAGAGCCTTGTGTTGTTGTCGCAGGTGTGCTGGCGTGTTTGGACGGTTATATGAACATCGCTCTTGAGCAGACCGAAGAATATATGAACGGTCAACTCAAGAACAAATATGGCGACGCTTTCATCCGTGGCAATAACGTTCTTTACATCTCGACTCAGAAACGACGTGTGGCTTAGAATCCCTCCAGTTCGTTATCTGCTATGATCTCTAGAGTTGTGTTGAGTGGAAGTCCCGTTTCTTGATTTAATCTATACCAGGTTGCAGTTTCTATTTTATAGCTATCATGACTGATCACATGATAATGGCCCGCCATACATTTAGGCCTTGTTTTGTTAACATCATTATCTTAACTACGCTCCCTTGCTATATTTTCCGGTCAACCTGGTATTGATTAACCTGAAGCGCACATGTGGTAAACATGTATTCGTTTTTTTCCAAGTCTTCATAACATTTTTAAGTAAATCAATCATTGCTGTACCAGACTTGCATATCTCGATTTTCATCAGGTTGAACTCATAGACGTATCATCAGGTAAAAGCTCCTTCAAATCAACAGTAATATCGTTGCTAGAACGTATCGGTATCTGTCAACCCCCCTATTGTTTAGTCTCATTTTTCAACAGTTCTCCTCAGTTTTGTACGATCTCATTCAAATGTCATTTTTCATTTGAACGAATATTTATATATCCGTTCGTTAGATCATGAGCTTCATTAGCAGATTATTCGGAATTTCATCAAATGAAATTTAATCTGCGTTACTAACAATCCGAAGTAGAAATTTTACTCCGAGTAAATTAATTTGTTCTTTCTTTGAAGACGCTTTGAAGTTTTACACTATTTGAGCAATATCATCTCCATATTTAATTCGTTTTTCCTTTCTGGTATTCAGTTTCAAAATTCGTTTTCATAATTGTTGCATCTACTGCGGTAGTCTACTAAAAGGTGTTCAATATTCTTTGAAATGTTCAATATGTTTTTGATTGTTTGGTTGAATATTTTTGAGCATTTAGATTCAGGATATTATTATGCTGTTGAATAAAAGACGTTCAACCCCTATTAGCGCATCATTTTAAAATGTTAAACAAAATTACTACCGTTATCATTGTATTGTTCTCGTTTGCGTATTTATGTGTACAATAAACGTGCACTGCTTGTGTTATTGATACGACTGAGAATCCAGAATTCAGTCTATACCGTAAGCCTGACCATAATGGATGAATTTTGAAGTGTTAATATTTACAAAGCACGCGCTTGTTGTACTAGGAGCAGCTATTAAAACAAGCTGAACGTAAAGGCAACGTCTAATTTCGATATTATGACTTTTTTTATGAATAAATATGATTTCTAATTTTTTGTTTGTATTTTCTCCACGGAACATCCAAAGTAACGTAGTGTTAGCGTGCTGCTGATGTTAGCCTTAGTACGATATATCGAAGAAAAAGGTTTAAGCAGAACATAATTTTATTCTGACGATGTTATTTTATGACTAGCATCTAAATTATAGTATTAACTACTTACGTTGAAGCAAGTGATGAAAGATGCGAATTTACGCACACTTTACTTTCACGCATACGTATATCACTGCCTCGTGTTTTAGTTAGATTATCTTTGAATTCACCGTTTTGCCACAGCTATACTCAAACGTAGCTAATACCAAAGCTTTATATTCTATCATTTTATAAACTGGTGAGAGTGGCATCATGCATATGAAGAGTAAGATGTATTAGATTCTTCTATTTAGCATGTCTGCATAAACGGAGCCTGCTACTTTTTCCGCATTTCATCTGTTACACAACGGATGAAAGGAAGCCGATTTTTGGACGCGCCCTGCCCTTGTACCTTCATGAACGCTGTCCGGCTGTCGATTGTTATTGCTTTTTGTCCTATTAATATTATGACTTATTAGAAACTGTTTTAAAGTTTTTGCTAATAATCTCATTTTTCTATTCTTTATCCAGCATATTCTAGAAAAGCAACTTTTTCATATTAATAGGTGTCCATCATGGCGTTGTCAGCTGAGTTTGTTAGATTGGTTCAAGAAGAAATTCCTGAAGGTAGACAGTCGTTGACAGATTCCCATACTAATTTGGACAAAGTTGCTGCTTATTGTCTTGAAAATTTTGGCAGGGTAAGTTTTTCTTTTAGCATGTTGGACTGTTTGTGTAATGTGGAAATCGTTTGATTGCATAGCTATCAACAATCAAGTTATCAACATCATTTCTAATTTCTATCTGTCCTTTCTGTTTGATTTATAGGTTTCTTTCCATGCCCAAGTGTGGAAAATGTTTGCCTTCCAAACAGAGACAGTGAATGAATTTTTGAGTTAACAAACATCTATGAATTCCATTTTAAAGAACTTCAACCCAATGATGTAGAGTTTGTTGAATGCATTGCCAATTTTTGCCCCCTATTTGTAGACCTATAGCTAATCATAATCATGTCGTTGACAACTTGACAAGTTGACAGTAATCTAAAACAATGCCGGCAGTCTTCAAAATGCCTTGCATGCATAATTTTCATCAAATTCCTTGCAAAACCTACTTTATTGGATGTAGCATGTAGGTATCTCCAACACCCCAGCTAGTCTGGAAAAGTCCTATTTTTGTCTGAAATATCGCGGCTCTAATATCATATAATTTCAGTAGGTATGAAATCTCGCGGCTCCATAGTGACAAACCAGAGATTTTTTAGAATCAGTTCATTTTTAATTTTCTCATTTACTCAAGATTTAAATCAATTCCTTAAGTATGATAATGCTGGTATCTATGATACTTTACTAGTCTACTTATAGGATTCAAAAATGAACTTGATGTAGTGTCTAAAAAACTCTCTGCTTTGCCACTATGCGCGGCTCGAATGTCATACATTTTTGTTTGATTAAAAAATCGCGGTTTGCACTTCGCAAACATGTCATTTCATAAAATTTTCAACTTCTGCAATCCGCATTGCTTTACCGTTTCCGCCAAAAATATCTTGCAGAAAAAACATAAACATCGTAATGTAAACAAATCAACAAAACGTTTGTTGTATCACGGCTGGCAAATCCATAAAACCACGGCTCGAAAAATTCAGTAGCGGCTCGCCAAGTAGATATATTCCATACTAGCACCCCAGGTAATTAGTCCCTACTCACAAAAAAGAATATTTTTAATGTTTATCAATGAAACCAATTATTAGGATATAACTGTAAAATAAATTATTGTATAATAAGCTGCATTCTTCTTCTCTTGCAGGCAGAAAACAAGCGAATGGCTCTGGAAGAGACCAAGAACTACACAACCCAGTCACTGGCATCAGTGGCTTATCAGATCAACACGCTGGCTTACAACTTCCTGCAGATGATGGACCAGCAGTCCCATCAGCTCGCAGAAATGGAAAGCCAAGTAAACTACATAGCTGAGGTATGACCAATTTTCCTCTCTTCTAATTCTATTCATTCTTGGATCATAAAATAAACATTACTCTTATTTCAGAATTATTGAATTTTGTCTGCAAACAAAAATCTAGGAAACTTCACCAGTGTATTTTGAAGAAAATCAGTCTTTTGCTTTGAATAATGTGGTTCTGACATGACTTTCTGGACATTTTCTCAATGCATACAATAGTGCTGTAGATATTACCAACTCCCATATTGTACCATGAATGTTGTTGTTATTAATATTTGAATAGTTAACTGATCTATGAGCATTCTTATTTGTATATACTTATATTCAATAGTTGCACTGTCAAAGCTAGTCCATATTGATCATGAATTTCATTATTTTATAAATGTTTGCTATTTTTTGTATTTAAATGCCATTTTGCATTTCAATGGCATCTTTAATCAGATGGTGATGATTCACAAGGAGAAAGTAGCACGCCGTGAGATTGGTGTTCTGACAACCAATAAGAGCATCACACGACAGTTCAAGATTTTAGCTCCAGCTAATACTGAGAAGCCCATCAAGTATGTGAGGAAACCAATTGACTTTACGAGTGAGTAGTACTCATTTTATTTTATTGCTGGAGTTGTGAAAAATATAATAATTTTTAGGTTCTTTTTAGCTTTCTGCCCATTTATCAACAATGAATAGGACAGAGATTTCACATGTAGGAAAACTGGACATACTGGTATGTCTATTTTGAACAGAAATACTTGTAAAAGTATTGATAAAAATTGAATTTATTTATCATGTGTGCCTTAATGTTTTCTTAATGAAAGGTTGTTTACACAGGATATCCAATGTATGACTCAATTTCATTGTCATATTCAGCCACATTATTTGGATGGCCATGTATAATTTTATCATTGTCTCAATTCCTGATTGATTAATAGATTTATTGAAACATTTAACAGTCTATGAGTTTTATGTAATATATAATGAACGTGTGCAACAAATTGTACCCATAGTTTGACTCAAATTTGGGTAATTGTGAATTCTATTAGCATGTATAGAGTTTATTTCTTAACATTTATGATGTGGTATGAGATTTCTTTGTTGTTCTTGATTGTAAGTTGACAGGAGCAGAATGGAACTGACTTGCACTTCTGTGTTTGCTTCACTGCAGAGTTGGACCACATCGGCCACGGTGAGAGGTCAGGGTCGTCTGTTGGACCACGCCTTCGTCACGCTCCTTCAGGTGCAGGGCCAGCACTTGCCATGGCTCCACCTTCTTCATCCACACCTCTGCTGCAGCAGCAGCCTAGTAACGCGTCCTCCAGTAGCGGCATCTATGCGCCTTCTGCAGGACCTCCTCCCACCACCAAGCCCCCCACTCCTCCTCAGTCCTCGCGCTCTGTCACTAGCCTGGCCAGGGGGTCGCGTGAATACAGAACGCCTCCTGCTGTCGCCCCACCTCAGGTCATCTCTCTATTATATATAAACCCATATTACCTTGGTTCATCATTATTACTTGTGGTATTTTTGTTGACGGTTTTCAAAGATCATGAAATTCTAAATTTTAACCAAATTTCTGTTTTTATAATTTGTGACATTGATCCCCTAAACTTTTTTCCACGATGATCCTGACTTTTCACTGCTCTATTCAGGTCCCAATGAACTACGCTCCCAACTTCCCTATGGGACACCCGCGTCGTGGGGAGAGTTCTCAGCCCCTACAGCCCCAGCAGCAGCGCATGTATGGTCCTGCTCTTACAAACCCTCTACCGCCCTCTCCTGCCCCTCCACCTCCGCCCCCTCAGGTGGCTTTTTTGCCCTTTCAATTTTACTGTTATCGTTCGTCTCGCAATCGTAACGAATAATCCAATTCCGGTCTCATTGTTATAAGTTATTTGATAATTGTCACAACGTGAGTCAGTGCGATATTACTCTGTTTCAAATGATAACCTCATTATTGTCTAAATTTCTTCTAGTTCCTTTGAAATTTTACTTAGAGTGTTAGTTATCTTTTTCTGATGAGAATAATTGCTTGCAAGCAACCACAAGAAAGTTTTGGTAACATTTAATTGTATTTAAGGTGGGAATGGTTCACCCAATGCCTCAACATGGGGGAGGCTATGCTGCCGGCCACCACATGACCGAGCCCTCGCACTACGCTGCTAACCACTCACACAACCTTCCCCGTGAGTGCCGTATACTATTGTATTTAGTCTCATCACTGCATATCATTATAATTACGAACTCTCCTCTCAACCTGAATTTATACATAACTGATCTTGGCCCTATAAACTCGGTTGACCCATTAGATTATTGTAGTCATCACTGCAAATCATTAAAATTACGAACTCTCCTGTCAACCTGAATTTATACATAACTGATCTTTGCCATATAAACTCTATTGACTCATTAGATTATTGATTAATGTATATCTCATTTTAATTACTTTTCGATCTTGTTTATTTAGTTCAGCTATAGTTTCACCTCTGGATCGACCATAGAATCACCCTTACTGGTGGTTGTAAACATTAGGTTATGTATTGGGTGCACGTGCAGCAGGTGTCTATGTTGATGCAACAAGACACAAGTCCTTGTTTCTTATTCACATTCTTATGCTCTTCTTCTTACATTTTAACAATACACTAGGTATGTTTGAGATTCCGGTTCAATTTGAATAAGATTCCATGCGAATTAATTTGATTTGATGCTTATTTATTGTACTCAGTAAACTGAATAAGTGTCAGCTCATTTGCACCGTACATTATATGGAGTGTACTAATTATGTTTTTATATAGTATACAGTATATGGTTTTTTTATAATTTGGATCTCAATTACGTATTTAAGAAATAGAAATTGCGATAAGTTATTTGTCGTGAGTTTTTTAATTTAGTTACTTTGTGTATTTCTTATTCAGGTGCTGGTCACGGTACGTGTATTCATTGTTTCTGCATATGATTGAGAAATGATTGCTTCAAATCACTAAGACTTTTGCCCCGATGACCTTCTAACAGACACAATTTTCTTTCTAGATAATCTAAAACGTAAATTGAATTTCTTAACACTGAAATGCTCATAATTATAACGCATTTACTCTATTTTGCTTTAAATTCCTTGGAAAAATGTAACCAGAAAATCTAAAATTAATTTAAACTTTTAAATTGTTTGAATTTTTTTTTGCGGAAGAATAGGTTGTTCAAATTTACCGTCATCGTTTATATTCAGAAGAACTTGCTTTCCCGTAGAGCGCTTGTCTTTAGCATCAACATATTGAAATAGTCTGTTGATGTGATGACGTGTGTGGTTTATGCAGCTAAAACAGTTCCGTCGCAAGTATCCAGTTACATGTCAATATTCTCATGCAGTAACAACCCTTCACATCAATATTGCCTCTTTGTGTAACATGAAATTTGTATTGCTACTGTTAACTTGGTAGGAACATATACAAATGCTCGCCTTACCTTGGTCTTGGATACAACGCATTGCCGAGTTTTGTTGCCTAGCTGCCATGCTTGCCATGATATTAGCGGCTAGAGCTTATTTTGGCTGCAACTTCTTTACATTTCTTGCTTGGCACAACTGAAGCTCAAGAGTTGCACTTCACCAAGAGTTCGATTGCTCTTGTTTACATTTTTAATATTGGAAATATTTTGGATGGGTATGTCCTCCTTTGTGAACATAGACTGACAAAATTGCAGTGATTTATTCATTTAAAAAAATTGCGTGATCTATGCATTTTTTGGCTGCCTGATCCTCAAGACACATTTCAAATATATTCTGATCGTTGTTATTTCAATTTAATGGGTCTGGGTATCACTGAGGGTAGAAATATGGCACATGATTCCTAATATAATTCATAATTCCTTCTTAGATAAGTTAATTTTCAAACTTGATGATCCATCAATCTCCTAGAGATAGTTACTTCTATGATGTTAGTAATGCATTGTCATGCTCTATCTGGGTATTCTTCGCATTGATATATCAGTCATTAATAAATGCACAGCAATCAATTTAACATACAAACTTAGTCTAGTTATTAATGAAAACGAAACATTTATGCTAATGATCTTCCTAAACTTACCACATCTGTTGTAAATACAAGCATTTTTCCTTTTCTGCTCGTTTTGAAACTTTATTGCCTAGTAGGTCCTTAAATGGAACCTAACAGTTCTTGGCTCTCAGTCATTTGCTGCATATAATCGATCCCCTCATTTTGAAAGTCTTCCATTAACTGCGTCATTGTGTCAACCTTGAATTTACTAAACGTTCTGATTTATTGTTATAGAATTTTTCCTCCTGGTTTATTGATACATTATCCTCTATATACATCCCTGGATGACTCGGGTTCTTCTCTGCCCTCTATCATGCCTCATCCCCAGACATCCAGTGATGGAGGTCATATCACCAACAACGTGCTACAACATGCCTCTTTAATAAATATCACTGAAAAATATTGAAAGTGGAATAAATAAATTCATTGATATTCTCATCGTGGATGTTCACTCTTTCACGTTCACTTACTAAATGCTTCACAGAGAAGCTTCATACTTTCATACCCTGTATGTTCTCATTACAATCAGATTTTTTCTCCTCGCTTTAAAAACGGGAAATTAGTTGTGCTGCAATTGCCTATTCAGTTCGTGTAGATTTTTCTAATTAAAGTACATAGAAGCATCGTTGGTGCCCGACTACCCTCTATGGCTCGTCCTCACTCAGCTCCCCTGACTAGCTAATCATCATTGCCGCTATTCTCTCACCCTCATGCTTGCCAAAAGGATACCCCACTGTCATCCGCCCCGCAATGACACTCCCAAAAAAATCGTCTGTCCCTTCCAACGACGCGACCACGTCAAGCCCCGGTGTCAGCAACACCCTCCCTCACCCTTCCCTCACAAACACCTCGCGCCCTTTGTATTCTACGCCGCCCAAAGTGTGTGCGGTCGCCGTGAGCGCTGCAGGCGATGTCCACGGCGCCAATGTCCCCAGCAAAGCTGAGTCCTCGAAGCCCCAGAATGGGGCGGGGGGTGCGGCCCCTGTGCGGGTGCCCCCTGGAGCCACGCAGCTCTCGAGCGTTGCTTCTGAGCAGCTCCAGCAGAAGCTTATGCATCAGCAGAAGCTCATTGAAATGCATGAACTGCAGCAGCAGCAACAACTGCTGGAGCAACAGAACCTCGGGCAAGATCAGGAACAGCAGCAACCGCTACAACAACAACAACAGCAGCAGCAGCAACCGCTACAACAACAGCAACAACAGCAGCACTACTCACAGCAGCAGCTGCAACAACAACAGCTGCAGCAACAACAGTTGCAGCAACAGCAGCTTCAGCATGAACAGCTTCAGCAACAACAGCTCCAGCAACAACAGCAACAGCAGAACCAGCAACAAATGCAGCAACAGCAACAACTTTCGCAACAACAACTGCAACAGCATGCACAGCAACAACAGATTTACCAACAGCAGCAGCAGCAACAGCAGTTGTCGCAGGACCAGCAGCAGCTGTACAGCTCCCAGCAGCAGCAGCAGGCAGCGATGGTGGCCACTAACCCGTTCCTGAACTACTCTGGTGAGGTGAAGGAGTCCGTGAACCCGTTCACGCAGAGCTCGACGCACGCCATCCGCCAGAGCGGCGGCAGCAGCAACACCGTCCGCGACGGCACCAACCGCGCCGCCAGCAGCGCTGCCGCCCCCGCCGGCATGGTCGAGGTCACGCTAGCCGGTACTCACGCTAGCCTCGTATGCACGGCCTCATGCAGGGGGCGACGTGTAGCGTGACTAGCATGATCGAGGTCACGCTTGTAGCGTGACTAGCATGGTCGAGGTCACGCTAGCCGGGACTCACGCTAGCCTCGTGTGCACAGCCTCCTGCTGGGGGCGACATGTAGCGTGACGCATGCCTCACGCTTCACTCCAAGGCGTTGTGTTGAAAGCATGGATGTGTCTTTATCTTGAGCGTTTGATTGTGGTCCTCTTGTTTCTAATCTGCTTCACTCCTCTTGAAATACAACCTTTACATTAAATGGACGTTTTATCCAATTTATCCAGCTTGCCTCTAGATCTTGAATCCTATTTAACATGGCGCGGGAACGTTGATGTTAGGATGTAATGCGTGTCTCACATCACTCACTTCCCCTCACTCATGAGATATGAAACAAGAAGCTTTTTGTTATGCATGGAAATTGAATTAATCCACTATGCACGGACTTGCTATTTGCCTATGTGAATTTATAATGCTAATTTAAATCGTTAGTCATATATTAATTTAACTTTTTCTCATAAATTTTGTGTCGTATTGCTTGCATCATTGAATTCTGTTTAATTGTGCACTTTCACGGCCTGAAGCTTGTTTTCTAACGCCGTTTTGTTGAATTACTTGATTATCGTACATAATTTATTTCCAGCTCTTGCACTCACAGTCTTTCATATGTTCAATAAGCCTTGATACGGCACCACTTTTGATCGCGGATTCTAGGCGTTATCAGTTTAGGTAGTTATTATCCTCGCGTTTTTTTTAGTTATCAGTTAAGGTAGTTATTATCCTCGCGTTTTTTAAGTTATCAGTTAAGGTAGTTATTATCCTCGCGTTTTTTAAGTTATCAGTTAAGATAGTTATTATCCTCGCGTTTTTTAAAGTTATCAGTTTAGGTAGTTATTATCCTCGCGTTTTTTTAAGTTATCAGTTAAGATAGTTATTATCCTCGCGTTTTTTTAAGTTACCAGGGTATGAAGTTATTCTAGGTGCCTCTCTCTCTTCCACGAAATTTCTTTCTTCGTTGAGCATCTCGCTTATGACGTTTTCATCGCATAATCTTCAACGCGAACATTTTTGTGTTATTTCATGTAGTTTGTTATTACCAAGTTTTTACCACGTACGTTTTTCTTAGTTTCGCTTCGTCTCTGTCTGTCATCAAAAATTCAAACCTTAATATAAAGCACTTCTCGAGATCCTAGAAACTTGAAATTTGGCGTGCATGCTTATGCTGCCTAACAATTCAAGATTTGATCATCAGAAGTAATAAGTTTAAAAATAAAATAAAAAATAAAAAAAACCTAAAAATTCACGGTTGGGATCGAGTTTTTTGTCGAACATCCAGAGTTGCCAACCCTGAAAAATGATTTGAATTGCTAAACTAAAAAGTAGAAAATAAATAAATATAAAGAACCATTTTTAAAAACCAAGTTTTTCTGGTGTTTACAAAACTAAAAGCAATGAAATAAAACAGATAAAGAACGTTAAGAAAACGTGTTATTTTAAGTTTTTTATATGTTTCATTTTTGTTTGCAATTGCTGTCGCTTGCTGTGTAGTTTTTGCGCTACCTTCGTCAAGGCTGCATGCAAATTGCATACTTATATTCTGCGCCGAAGAGTTTTTTTCCGTCTCCCTTTAGTTAAGACAAACCTTCGGCAGAGGATTATGATGAAAGATTATCACGAATTCCATCACATTTTTTAACCCATAAATGTTCTTATTCCATCTCATGCATTAGCTCATCATTATTGACGTGGGTGTTGACTGTGAAGTTCTCCGTCACGTCCGTTGGTATCTATATTATCGGATTGATAATTGTTATCATGAACGCAATACTAGCATATTTCACTCCCATTGGGTTGCGTTCTTCATAACGTGCCTGTTTCTCCACAACATAGTTCGTCATCGGGAGAGCATGAAAAAAATAATGAGCTTAAATTATAAGTATTAAACATATTAAAAGAGTTTTTAAATTTATTAATAGTTTTTTCACAAATTTTTAACACTTCCGCAACCGAAATACACTTCAGAGTATTAGTTTTTATGCGTTATTAAAGCAAAATATGATTTATAACCCTGCATGTCGACTATCGAAAATAATATCCAAAATATCAGAATTTGTTTCGCTTACAATTAGTTGTGTAAATCGCTCCTCCACATATTATGTGTGATTACTTGTTAATTTTTATCCTTCATTTGTTGGCATGTAGGACAGACCTTTCTGTCATGTTCCATTACTCAGTATTACGTGTAGCAATGACCGGTGCTGCCCAGTATTACGTGTAGCAATGACCGGTGCTGCCCAGTATTACGTGTAGCAATGACCGGTGCTGCCCAGTATTACGTGTAGCAATGACCAATGCGGCTCAGTATTACGTGATAAATGACCTGTAACCAGTTCTTTTTTCCTGATAACGTCGATCTTACCCACGATGTTGTTCTCCACACATTTGATTCTTCTAAGAGGTCACTTTACAGAAGTGTCTTCGGTAATTTTGTGCACTAGGTACCACTAAAGTGCATGCAAATTTCCTCACTACGAATATCCTCTTCAATTGTTCTGGTCGTCATGACTGTTTTAATTGTCTGATATGTCCTGTTGTTCTTAATTTCCTGCGTGCAATCTCTCTACCTTGTTCATTGCTGGATTTTCCTTAGCTTTAACAAATCTTTTTGTTGGTCATTAAAATAATGGAATTCTCAGTGGGGTGGGTACATAACTTGGCCGGTGAATACCGACAGTGTTGTGCTATTGTTAACGGTGCGATATAAGCTGAGTTAACTGATAGCCTTCATCCACACCAAGCGGTCCACTTGATGCAGGGATTAATTGTACTCTGCTGTAGTGGCACCAATGGACCAGTATCTCAATACCGGCATCTGTGTGAGCTTCTTGAAATATCTTCTTATATATGGTAACTTGTGACGTGACGTGAGCCAGTATAAATGGCCTCAGACGTGACGTGAGCCAGTATATATGGCCTCAGACGTGACGTGAGCCAGTATATGGCCTCAGACGTGACGTGAGCCAGTAAATGGCCTCAGACGTGACGTGAGCCAGTATATGGCCTCAGACGTGACGTGAGCCAGTATATGGCCTCAGACGTGACGTGAGCCAGTATATGGCCTCAGACGTGACGTGAGCCAGTATATGGCCTCAGACGTGACGTGAGCCAGTATATGGCCTCAGACGTGACGTGAGCCAGTATATGGCCTCAGACGTGACGTGAGCCAGTATATGGCCTCAGACGTGACGTGAGCCAGTATATGGCCTCAGACGTGACGTGAGCCAGTATATGGCCTCAGACGTGACGTGAGCCAGTATATGGCCTCAGACGTGACGTGAGCCAGTATATGGCCTCAGACGTGACGTGAGCCAGTATATGGCCTCAGACGTGACGTGAGCCAGTATATGGCCTCAGACGTGACGTGAGCCAGTATATGGCCTCAGACGTGACGTGAGCCAGTATATGGCCTCAGACGTGACGTGAGCCAGTATATGGCCTCAGACGTGACGTGAGCCAGTATATGGCCTCAGACGTGACGTGAGCCAGTATATGGCCTCAGACGTGACGTGAGCCAGTATATGGCCTCAGACGTGACGTGAGCCAGTATATGGCCTCAGACGTGACGTGAGCCAGTATATGGCCTCAGACGTGACGTGAGCCAGTATATGGCCTCAGACGNGATGTACTAAGCATGACGTGCAGCAGATGTACTAAGCATGACGTGCAGCAGATGTACTAAGCATGACGTGCATCAGATGTACTAAGCACGTGTTCATGGTCGCAGTGATCGCGGTGTACGACTACAGCGCGGACAAGGAAGACGAGCTCAGCTTCTCAGAGAACGCCGTCATCTTCGTCCTGAAGAAGAACGACGATGGCTGGTGGGAGGGCGTCCTCAACGGCGTCACGGGCCTCTTCCCTGGCAACTACGTCGAGCCTCTCATGTAACGCGTGACGTGTGGCGAGCCTCTCATGTAACGCGTGACGTGTAGCGAGCCTCTCATGTAAC